TTAATGTCTACTGGCCTTTTTGCTGTCTGTCACCAGATAGGCTCTGGTATAGAGGAGGAAACATTCTTGTAAATCAGGTGCATATTATCTTCCACTTCTGTATCTCATCCTTTTTCACATTCAGTAGTACTCTTTTTCAAGTTATCTTTCAGGTGTTTTGAAGTCTCTCTTATCATTATAAGAAACTTAATGACTGATTTACTCCTATTTCTCTCAGTCACTGAGGATGCTAAATACAATTACTGTCAGGAGTGGTCCACAATGCCATTGCTGATTTTGGTTGTCTGATAATTGGGATCAGAAGGATTAGAAGTCACTGTCTTGCTGGTCTTTTCATCTGAATCTGGGCAGCACAGGTTGAAACCTAGGTCTAGTTTCACATAAAGCTATAGCACGAGTGCTTGGTAATTTTGATATAGTTTGATTTTTACACGCATCTAGAACTGTGATACCACTGTGGGATGCACAGGTAGCTTGCAGCTAATATCTGCTAGTGTCTGTATTGGGTTTGTATTTAACATGAGAGTTAAAATGATCAATTGCTTTTACTTTAGCCAGTTACAAACCAGCTTTCTCCAGCTTTGGCAGTTGCAATTGGTGGGCTGTACATATCTCTGTAACTGCTTTTCAGTTTTCCTGATGTCCTTAAAGTTAAAAATGAAATGCAATTGAGGAGGACAAAGGGGAGTTAATCACAGTAGCATTTGCTTCTTGGTTCGTGTTCAATATTCTCTGTCCTTCCGAGGCTGGATTGTGCTCTGCTGGCAGTGGAGCATGGTAATGCTTCTTTATTTACTCTTCTGATATATAGCTGGTCTCATGAAATAATACTGCAAAAAGTAAAAGAAAATGTGACTGTAGTCATACTTGAATATGTGTACTCAAATACATCTGATTTAGCTATTGATAATTTGTGGTTAGTCTTCCATGTCAACTTTATACTATTGGACTGTAGTGAATGTTAATTGAAAAGACATGTTGTCTGCAGTGAAGTCTAGTTGTGCATTAAGGGGCTGTTCTGCATAGAATACATGCAAGTGGAAGAGCTCTGTCTTTCCAAGATTTGAAGACAAGACATTAGCAGCAATAATGTTGAAATTGTGACTGTGAGAATTTGTTACTCCCATTTTATGAGTCCAAATACATGGATATATTCAGAAGTCCCAGTCTGAATAGCAGTTGATTTTATGTACTTGTTCCTATTCTGAAAATATATTCAAGTGGTGAATCTAAGATTTAGGCTTTAAACTTTCCTATTTTTTTTTTAATCAAACTATGGGAAAATACTTTACTGATAGGCTTTTTTTTTTTTTTAATGGGATGTGTTAATTCTAGAATTAACAACAATTAATTGTTAATTATCCATATCACCTTTTACTTCTCAAATTTATTGCTTGTCAGTGTCTAATTTAAAATGACTACTGACTCCAGCCTCCTTACTTTCAGGAACCCAATTTAAAAATGCAAGCTAGAACATGATGGAGTGAAAGACCACAGGCAGGATGTGGCTTTGATGTCAGTTAGATATCGTTTGAAGGATAGCTGCCTTTAAACGCATTGACGATTGCCACCTTTTACACAGTAAGAGTGAACAGGCCAAACAGACACTTGTCTGTGGCCACAGCATGCTTGACATTATGGTCAGCACTGTGTAGTGGTTTAGTTCAGACTAAGTTATTTTTCTTAGTGTGTGTCTGCAGCTCGTGGCCTAAGAGTGACCAATTCTCTTGCTAGGGGAGAGTTTAGCTGTCATCTTTGTTTGGTTCCTGGGATTCTTGAAGTCCCATGGTACCTTCACTTGGAAGCAAGTCTTTCACTGGTTGCTTAAGGGGAGCTCTGTGATGGGCACTAGAGAGTTCAGCTTTGCTTCATCATACGCTGGGCTAGGTAACTGGTGACATTATCCTCATTTAAAAAGGCTGCCATGTCAGGTCTTGAGTTTTCTTCCATCATCTTCTGTATTTCTCCTGCATTACAGCTGTGGGTGTGCAGGAAGCTGTTTCTAGTAAACTGAACTGTATTTTAAGAGGGGGGAAGGAGGAGAGGAGGAACAGCAAAGGAGAGAAACACATTCCTGAGAGTCCTCGTTAGGGAGCATGAAGGGTACGGGAGACTGCTCATTTATAAATGATGTCCCCCACCCTTAAGCAGCTGTTCTGGTTTTGTGTGTTGGCATGCAGTGTTTGAACATCTTGGGAACCCACAGATGTTTGACTTTGATTCATACGCTGAGGCAGATTTGATCCTTACTCCTAATGCCAGAGCCTTCTGGCTAAGATTAGCCTGACGCAAACCCAGCTCCCACTTCACTAAGCAGCAACATTTTTGGTACATGTCAGGTCTGGCACTTGGTCCTCAGCTGTTTTGTGACCACTTCCTGTGTTTATAGCTGGAGATTGGGTCTTGGCTGTGGACATGAGATTTACTCGGAATTAAGACATTTTTCTGTGAACTTGAAGTAATTCATGACATAGATGTTTTAGAGAGAGAAATGCACCTTTGTATTCTGTGGCTTCAAAAAGTATTGAGTTAAGAAAAACAAGGATAGCATTAACATAGCACAGCTCAGATCAGCTGTTCTTAATGTGTTCCCTAACTCAGTAAGAAAACATTTTTGGGACTAGATGGTGTTGTGTTAATGCATATTACACACAGTATCAGTATTCTCATAGCCTGAGGGCATCTTCTCTCTTGTTCTTGTGCTTGTAATCCAGTGTTGGTCTAATACTGTGAGTATGTTTGCATAAGAATAACTTTTATACTAGTTTTTATATGATGGAAACGGTGAAAGTAGCCAGTTCTATGCAAAGAAATGGAGATCTGACACAGGCTTTGGCTGGAAGCTAACAGCTGTTTGATCCATGCCCAGATGTGCTTTCTCTCCATCATCTGGCTGTGTTGGGAAATAGCCCAGAGAACTGGCCCAGTGCTTCAGGGGCCTGTGGTCATTCAAAGATCATCTGCAGTGAATGAGATGATGGAAGGGCTGTATGTCTCCTTTATTCCATGATTTCTCTTTCTGCTTTGCTTTATACTTCTTTCTTGACCTGCCCGTCATCTTTCCAGTTCTTGATGTTCTGTTGTTACTCCTCTTTCAGTTGAGCTTTTTCCCTTGGAATTGAGCTTTAATTACTGAGCAGATGTTGTCTTCATTCTGGCTGCTCTAAGGGCTTTTATCTCTCTTCATCTTATATCTTAGACATTTTAGCTCATTAAGTCCTGTGGAGCTAGAACTCTTTACTAGTTAAAGACACTAAAAAAAAATTCTTATCATATCTTGCTGCAGTTCTGTAAACAAGCTACTTAATCATGCTTTTATGTTAATGCCAAAGAAGTACAAATCGGTTGCACTGTGATTATAAACAAATGAATACAGAATTACAGTCTAAATATTGAGATACTTTTCCTTCCTTTGATTTTTTTTCTTATTTTCTCCATAATGCTCTCTGGAGCAAGATTTAACTCTAGAAACTCGTGCAAGTTAAACTTTTATTGAAGAAAATAAAGTAAAGGGAAATTGATGTTGCCTGAAATACTTTATGATCTGAAACTAGAGAAGAGGCAGAAGCCAAAATGTAACTGTGCAGGAATGTGCTTAGATATAAAACTTAGGATGTGACTGTGGGAATGCCTTTAGATACAAAAACTGGAATGCAACTATGTGTTAGTGAAATCTGCAAAAAGCTGGGAATGTCATGCTCAGTGTTTGAGAACTGCAGGCAATTGGCAGTGTTTTTCAGAACTATTCTTGTAAAAACTCCTTTTCCTGAGTTTGGGGCATGATCCAGTCTTTTTTTTTTTTTTTCTTTTTTTTTTGTTCTTGGCTTGAACTCATGTGAACTAGAACAGAATTAGCAGGAGACAGTAAAGCTGTAGTTCTGTGTACTCTCTCCTCAGTGGTAAAGCTGGCTTAAGAAAATCCTGCTCCAAATTGTACTTCCCTGCCTGTCTCACTTTTTCCAGGAAGTGTTTTTTGTAGGAGTGAAATGTGAATGTATCTGATCCAGTTTTCCAAAAACCATTACAGAACACTTCCTATTACTTTTTTTTTTTTACCCAAGGCGGACAGCTGCTGGTGAGCTGTGTGGCTCCGTGAACAGTTATGCTGCAGTGACTGAAAGCATGAGGCACCCTGTGATGGGAGCAAGGGATGGGAATAAAGCGGTTCCTACCAACCTCTGTGCAATATGAAATCCCAGCCTCATTGAATATATTTCTGTAGTGTAACATTCTTTGCCAGAAATTAGTACACCAAAGCTCTTAAGGCAATAGCCTTATGCAACAGAAATGTTCATGAGGTCTCTGGCCAAAGTGTTGTTCTTTCTCAGTCTTCCCTTATTTTTTCGGGTAGTGATAAGCAAGGACGGGAGGTGTCAAAGGAAACATAAGATCTCAAACAAAAAGTTATGCTTTAGAAATGCTTCATGAAAGCAACTTTTACTGTCAAGTAAAATTTGGCCTGACGGTTGCAGCCAGTATAGACTAGAGGCAAATGATATCAACAACTGTGCCATCTCAACTTGGTGCCAAGTCAGTTGACTCACGGCAAATGCTTTATTTTTCATAATCTCATTGGAAGATCATTCATCAAATAGCTGTAGGTTTGCAGGTTTCAGCGAAGAGAGTCAAAAGAATTACTTAAGAAATGTCACTCAGACTTTTAGTTTCTTTCCTTTATTATTACCTTCAAACATAGAGACTAGTGGCTATGCAAGAACAGAGGAAACCTCTTTCAATGTGACAAACGTTAGGATTAATAAAATTTCATCTCAAATCTTTACTACTAAGCTAGATGCTTTGTCAGTGATGTAGTTTTTCTTTTTACTGTCAAATTCTTCAATGCTTGTGGTTCTCTAAAATCTGTGCTGTTTCATAGTTGAAATTTAAGTCAAAGAGTGATGGCAATAAATGGGTTAACTTAATGCATTCTTGCCCCTTCCTCCCAGTTCCAGAGTGTTTTTGTGTAAAGTTTTACAGGAAAACATTTTTTAACCATGCAGGGCAGCTTTAGAAGAAGTAGAAGGAGATGTGACAGAACTGGAACTGAAACTTGACAAGGTAAGCTTTTTAATTCAACAACCTCTGTTCTGAAAAACATAAAAAGATGTGTTTAGGTTTTGTTTTCAAGTTTACATCTGGGAAGTGGCAGTGGCTGACCAAGCATTTAGCTCTTGCAGAGGGAACGGATCTGGCTGGAGTGCGCAGCTGGGCCTCAGTGCCCTGAGCTTGAGTAACAGCAGCAGCAGCTGCTGCTGGTGTGAGCTCTGTTCTCCCCCAGCTGAGGGTTTGGGTTGTGCAATTCCCTCCTGGCCCCTGGCACTTGTGACTCAGCCCCACAGTGGGAGCTGCATGCAGAGTAATTCAGCTTTCATGTGAGTTAAAAGCTAGGGGTTGGCTGTCCCTGCACTGAGAGCTTATGTTTTATGACAGCTGCATACTGCGAGGACATCCAGATGCTGTTTGTTAGAGATTTAAAGACAGTGCTTTCTGTCTTGGTAGTCTGCAGCACGGTCACAGCAGGAGAGGTGTATATATATCCTTCACTTTCGTCTGGAGGACTGATCTACCGTAAAATTAATCTTGCTTTCTGTCATGCTTTGTGTATGTATGTAGAATGTTTTGAGTGCCTTACAATCCATTCACTGGTTTTGTAAACAGTAGTATTTGGAGCCTTTTGTTCTTTCTTTGGTAGTATTTTGAGGGTGGCTTATTTTTGTTTTACATCTGTAGAAAGTTTAATTTCCTTGGCATTTTATGTTAATTGTTTAAAATTATTTTTTGCCTGTGTTCTAATGTGGTAATCAGATGTCATTTGTTCACCTCCTTACCTACTTTTTGAATATGAACTTTTGTTCTTGCAGCTGTGAGTTGGCTGCAGAAAGACAGACAAATAAAGTCAGTGTCAAGTTCTGAAGACTTTCTGTTACTTCTTGTAATAATATTTCTAGCTTTTTGTAGTTACTAGTGTAACCATCTGCTCTTTCAAAACAGATTTAAGATACTTCATTTTGATTTGGTGTGAATTGTGGTGAAAGTGATGGGTATAAGACACATTTTACTGTAGGGGTGATGAATATGTTTTGGTAGCTTAAACCATGTAAGTATTTAAAGGATCTGAAAAATCTGGCTTGGAAGGTTTTTTTCCATCAGTCTAAAAGGGTAATTTTGGGAAAAGAATTCTCAAATTCCTTAAGGGACATTGTTAAGTGCCATACTCTTGTAGGAGGCCAGTGCCAAATAAACCATTCTATCCTGTAAAAGCTATAACCATAGTATTACATTTTGCCATGAGACAGTATCCTAGTACTGTTTAAAATAAAAACACCCAAACCCATTTGCTCCCCTGAAAAGAAAGCAAGTACACAAGGTAAGCATTTAAGTAGTTTAATTGTAATGTGAAGTAAAAGTGGTCTAGTATAATGCTTAGGATGAAAGCCAAGTTTCTTGTGTGAGCTGAAGTAACTTATGGCCCAAGGGCAATGATTTGCTTAGAATTGGTTGGTAACTTTTTCTGCTCAGTTATTCATACTAAATTTAGATTTTTTTTTCCACAGTTGTGACTTCAGGCTAAATTATCTGCATTTTTTTCCCCCTCTGGAAGAAAGGACACTGGGTTCAGGATTGTGAACCATAAGCAAAAGTGAAAGAAAAAAAGTCATTTTGGTAGTGATTTTTCTGTTCATTGTTCAAACAACTTGGCCATTCATTGGAATGTGGGAGATGTTGCTCAGATTTCTTCTTTTCCTAAGAGGATCTAAGCCAACATAAGTTGCTGGGTAAATAAAGCAGGAAGGTCACTTTGGTGGGTTCCTTGCCCCAACCTAGGATCAAGTACTTCTATGTTGTTCTTCATGAAAACTTGTATAACATCCTTGAAAAATCCTTCAGAGATGAAGATTCAATCTTCTGATTTTAGTCTCATTTTGGTTTAGGCTGGGGGAACTCAACTGTAATATGCCTTTTCTCACAAAAGCGTCTTAGTGATCGCACTAATCATTCTTTCATTAATGGCCCAGTGCATAAATGGTTCAAAAAGTGGGAAAACATCCATCAGAAGACACTGATGGCCTCCGTACTCAACTCTGCAGTACCATGATAGCTAATGTGCTGACCTAAGCACCCAGTGGTAGGGATGGAAACCAATGTGAGAAAAGACCACGATTGATTTCACCTTCTGAGGTGTAACCATCTCTCTAAAGTTGTGCTTTGTGCAGATGGCCTTTTGCCTTCCTGTGCCTGTAATCTGAGTGTCTCAAGATGAAACAATTGGTGTGGGTTTCTTTTTGGGTTTTTTGGCTTAGAAACCACAAAACACTTATAGTTTGCTTGGGATCTAACCTGTTATATTTTAGTTGTTGTACTTTTGGCCCTCATACAGCCCCTTCTCTTGAAATACATGCAAAATTTCCATTAACAATAAAACAAAGGAAAAATAATTTAAAAAATTTTATGATTAGCGACATTCTCAATAGCGTATCAGCTGACCTAGATTAGTCTTTTTATAGTTTTCATTATACAATAGAAAGCTTTTCATAGAATGTGAGGCTCTAAATTTAGAACTTAAGTTTTGAATGAAATCTTTGTTTCTTACACTTAATTAAGCTCAGTGTGTTTCATGTTTATATAGTGGTGTAAAAAAAAAAAAGGAAAAACTTCCATTTGTTGTATTTTCCTCTTTAGCTGGTGAAGCTTTGTATTGCAATGATTGATACTGGGAAAGCATTCTGTACAGCCAACAAGCAGTTCATGAATGGAATTCGAGACCTTGCACAATATTCCTGTAAAGATGCATTGGTTGAGGTAAGTTCTTTTGAGCTGAAAATGGAAGGAAGAAAAGGGTAAAATATAATAGTTGGCAAGAGAAATAATTGAAGTTTATGTTATTATTTGCCTTTTTGCTCCTTTTTCTTCGAGATGTCTTAAGAGTGAGCTTTTATTGGCTGTGGTACACTGCAAGTGTCTGTGCTGTTTAGTTTCAGATTTAACTTACAATGGCAAGGGTTTTCCAAATTCCAGAAAATACATAATAGGTTTTGAATAGTCACCTTGGAAAGAGTGAAGAAAGTCGTGTTGAGGCTGTGAACAGCTGCCCTGGTGACTGTTGAATAAAGGGGTTCTAATCATGAGATCTTAAGAGCCAGTTCTCTGCAACTAAATTCCCCGAGTTGGTCTCTTGGGTCCTGGAACTGGCTCTTTCTAATACATAGAAATTTAAACTTTTAAATGTACAGAACCCATTTTGATGATGTAACCTCAGACTGATATCTTGTTAGGATAATTTGGAACACCTAACACTTCCTGTCTATGTTATTTTGAAATGAGGTATGAAATTGTGTAATATGCAGGTATAATTATGTGCACATCTTTGTCTATATCATCTATATTTAATATATGTTATCTAAGAGAACATCAATTGCATGTATGCATCTTCACAGGCATCTATTTCAACTTGTGTGTGAACTTCAGTATAGTCTGTGTGCAACTGAAACTATTGTCTGGAAATTTACTTTCTAGAAATTCAATGCAATGGCAAACTAGTAAAAGATTATTTGATTTCAAGTATGTTTTTGTGACGTTTGTTGCAATAAGCGGTTATCCATATATATTAGGGATCATTGTTTTCTAACTGTGTTTGAGACATTGATTCTACAGATTGATGTTGCTAAGCATGTCAGCTGTGAGGCAGTAATTCCTACAGTAAATGTATGTGTACTGATCACAACATCTTAACTAGTTTTTTGGAGTTAGACTATTAAACATTAATAAATATTAAGTAATGTAATATTAAATATTGTAAATTAATGTGTTAAATTATATGAACTCCCCACGGTTTAGTCAATTTAATTTGAATTTTTCCCACTTTGCTTCAGTTTGGTGGTTTATATATAGATAGGTAGCAGTAACATTTTTGTTACTTGTAGCTTTACTAGATTTACTTGATATTACTCCCATGCTTTCCTTCTAGCAAAAGGGTTTTAGTTTAATAATCGTGCAAAGGAAAATCAGTTCCCAAGTTCTTTACTGAAAAGCTGTAAACCTCTGAAATGTTGCTTTTGTGCTGTGTATTTGGTAGGCCTTAACTTAAACCACTTTGTTTTTCTCTTTACAGACCAGCTTGATGAAGTTCTCAGACACCTTACAGGAAATGATCAATTATCACAATGTAGGTATTTCTAGCTGAAATATGACACTGATAGCTTACCTCCAGTTATATTTGATAACAGAATAATGCTAAAGCTTTTCTCATTGATGCTATTTGCAAAGTCATGGTTTAAGTGGTATTAAATACCTCTGACTTTATACTTGTAAATATTTTATTTGTATTTCGTTTATGAAATATATATAAATATCCCCTTCTCTGTAGATTTTTTTACCTTGCTTTTTTTGTTTGGAATTTGTAAGCTTTGCCAAAACCCATTGCTGTAAAATGGAGTAAATACTGGATTGTTTCATCATTTTTAATCAAACTGATGGACAGCAGTGAACAAACTGTGAGCATCTTTCTTCCCTGGACTGAAATAATGATTACCTTTTCCATAATTTCTACTTTTTTCCACTTCCTTTATAATGTGCAAAGTGAAGCACCTCTGATTTTGTATGTAGTTTTCTTTTGAAAGTATGACAGATTTAAACAAGTGTAGAGAAAGGAGAAAATGTGAGAATTTAAGACTAATAGTGATTTTTAGCATGTCAGACTTCATCAGAAAGATCAGTTTTGCCTGGATTGAAAACTATTTTATTTTCTCCTCTAAAGAGTTTAGTCTTATATCCTGAAAGCCAAAGGGATCTGTTTATTCTTCTGTATTCTTACTTTTCCCTTGGCCCCTACTGCTTTTATTTTATTTTCCAGCAAATTGCTGGAAAGCAACTAAAGTGTCTCCAAAGTTCTGCAAATATGCAGGGCACTTAATTTTTTTTTTTTTTTTTTTTTTTTAATACCACTTGGAGTTTAAAGTGTGATGAGGTACAGAGAATGCAGTTCAAACAACTTTGGCTGAAATTACATTTGTTAGCATTAACTTGGCTTCCTAAAACTGTTTTATTAGGCATTTTTTGAAAATGCATGCTTTTAGAAGGGAAGGGAAACAAAGGGAAGCAAGTTAATACTGTTGAGTTGGATTTCTTTTTCATTATATGAGGTGTACATATCTATACCTCATATAATGAAAACTGTAAAGAGGTAAGTGTACAGTGATACTTCAGTGGAAGAGAGAAGCTAATGCAATGGTTCAAAGCAGCAGTAGTAGGAGAAAGCGTTACTTCCATGTCAGTGGTTTTTGCAGATTAGATTGAGCAGATGAATCCAGTTGGCTGTCCCTATTTTACAGACTTCATCACACTTCTTGCTGTTGGTTACCCTCTTAGCACTGTCGTTGCTGTATGGTTTGCTCTTTTTGAAAGATCTGACCTAGGTCCTATATTCTTGCTGCTGTTATTGTTCTACATGATTGTGGCTTACAATACTTTGGTAAAATTTGACACAGCACAACTCTCCCCTTAGGGCAGTTTGAAGGCAGAAAACAATGAGCAAGCCATATTAAAAGAAGATTTATTTGCAGATCTAAGTAGGACCACTCTTTCTGTCCTGTTTTTTTTCCCCATCCACTTCATTGCTGTGCTCAAACACAGTGGGTAGTACAGTGGCTTTTACCAAAAGGCACAAACATAAGGACTGGGACATGTTACAGGGTTCTGGTGTAGATTTTTGCCAGATATGTTGTGGTCCTGTATTGATTTTCGTGAATCTGCTTAGTTCAGCAAGCCTTACTAGCTCAGAGTGTCAGCTCTGTTGTTAACCGAGTTGGCGAGAGGGCCATGATGAGTGAGAAGAAGCTAAAGGAAGAGGAGAGGCAAGCATCCTCCAGAGGAAGGCGGGAAGGGTTGGGAGATGGTCCATCTGAGATCTAGATGACTGTCAGTTTTCTCATATGAGGCTTTGCTACAATAAGGCTAGGAACCAGACCAATGCAGCAGCTTCACTGATTCAGCAGTGGGGGAGTAGCTTTGACAGCTTATGGCAAATAGCAGCTTTCTTAGACATGGTTTGGAGTATGTGAAAGGTAACGTGTTGGAAAGGCTGTAAGTCTAGCCAGATCGTGGTTTGGGCACTTTTTTCTGTTCTTTTAGGGCAAAAATGTGTATGTATTTTTCTGCCTACCACTTTTTTCCTCTTCACTGGTGTAAGCAGAATTGCAAGGCTGGTATTTCTGGGAGTCCGCTAATCAGTTGAGTTCCCATCTGGTTACACTCTTTCTGTATTGATCTTGATTGGTGCACTCTTCAGGCACTGGCAAGCTTAAATGTCAGCAGTGGGAGTAGTCCCAGCATGACTTCCAGCTTGTCAAGAAGTTCTTTATCTATTCTAGTTGTCTGTTTTTCTGGTTTTCCATAGTGGGAATACAAACAGGATCCTCCATGTGTTACTGTTAGATGTAAGACAATTCAGATTGGAAGGGGCCTCAGGAGATGGCTAGTTCAACTGCCTGCCTCAATCAGGGTCAGCTCTGAGGCTGGAGCAGGTTGCTTAGGGTTTTATCCCATTTGGTTTTGAAAACCTCCGAAAATAGACACTAGATGGAGGATATAGTACCATTATTAACGGGTAACTTAAACTCAATTGTGTCTCCCTTCCTTCAGTGTTTCTAGAAAAGAGAAAGAAGCTGGTAAAGGTTTTGCTGTCAGTATTTGGCATTGCATTGCTTTTCATTCCCAAATTTTGTGAATAGGGAAACTAAGACAGGAAAAGTTTCAAGAAAGCATTGTTTGACCTGAAACTTTGAGTTCTGGACTTGTTCTTTCAATAGATTTTTTTTAAGACTTAAAGATCTTTACCTTTTGGAAGAGATTCTGTTTAGTTGGACCAACTACTTCCTTGTATTCTTTCACCTATTTATTTTTTGTGATTCTGCCCTGTATATTTCCATCATGCAGAATGGGATGTGGGGAGAAGTTGGGAATTAGGGCATCATTTGTGGTCTGCACAGTAAGTGGCAAAAGGGTTTGTCCCATAGCTTTTCCTTTCCGTCTAAAAACTTGGGGTGCAGATGTGAAGCTGAAGGATTGTGCATTTTCATTCCACAGTTAGAATATCTGGAAACATAAGAGAAAATACAAGTTGTTTATAATATTCAGGTATACTTTGGCCTTTGAAATTTGATGTGTTTCTTAAGCTTTACAATTTGAATGAGTAGATTATATTCTGCCCCCTACCTCCCCAAATCATAAGAAATTTGAGAAGCATGGCTTGCAGCACTTAATCTTAGAAAGAGAAGCAGCCATTCTTCTTAACAGTTCAGCAGTGGGTGTTTTTTTACACGTGTTATGTAAAGGAGATGGTACTAATTACTCATCTATGTTACATTTTCAGCATTAATTTTAGTCTGTGTCTTTTTTGCCAGAAGGGCATGTTCTTTCTATAGTTTCATTTGTCTTTTAGTTGTTGCTTAATTGTGAAAGTCTATAAGAATCAAAAAAAGTTGTTACTTAAAATTTGAAGTTGTTTTTTTCAAGTCTGTTTGTATAGTAATATTCTTGACTGTGTAATAATTGTAATAAACATGTTCTATGAAAGTGGGCATGTCTTACATTGTCATGATGAGAGAATAAAATGCCAGGAGTTCATCTTTCCATATAACCACAGTCTTTAAGAAAAGACCAGCAAAGCGTGTTAGGTTTGTATTATTTATTTTATTCCTTATTTATTTTTTATTTCCAAACTACTATAAAGGGTTTTATATTTTGATATTAGAGACACATTAATTTAATATTATCATCTAATTCTGCACAATAGCCATATGTATGTCTAAAATGAAAAGTTATGAATACCTTTAAGTTTTTGACCTAAATAATAATGCTTTTCTTTCAGATCCTGTTTGACCAAACCCAAAGATCAATTAAAGCACAGCTTCAGACTTTCGTTAAAGAGTAAGTTAATTTGCACTTGCAATGAGGAAAGTTACAGGTAAAATAGAATTTTAAAACATCTGATTGTAGTGGGTTGGTGAAACATCTTTCCTGAAAATTGGCAGCCATAAATTGAGAAGTGCATATTAAAGCTTTTCCCCAGTAAGTACAAGATGCATTTATTTGAATTTCAGTACCGTCCTTTCCTCAGAAGAGAAAGACAGAAAAGATTCTATCATATTTTGTATGATTTCCATTTGATCTAAGCATTTATTGAGGAATATGGAAACAAAAAAAAAAAGCTATAACAGTCATGAGTATGGTCTGTTTGATGTATCTTTAAACACTTTTTTTCATGCTTTGGGATTCATTTGTTAACCATCTTTCCTTTTTCTTTAGAGATATTAGGAAATTTAAAGATGCAAAGAAACAGTTTGAAAAAGTTAGTGAAGAAAAAGAGAATGCTCTAGTAAAAAATGCCCAAGTTCAAAGAAATAAACAACATGAAGTAGAGGAAGCAACCAATATTTTGACTGCAACACGGAAATGTTTTCGACACATAGCTCTGGATTATGTTCTTCAGGTAAGTAGAACAATAAAAGTTATTTTTCAAGACCATCTGTTAAGTACAGTTAGGTATCTATTCTTTATAACTTCTTCTTGTAAGCTTCTCAGAAGCTGTGGAGATTCAGTGAAAAAGGAATAACTTTGTCTGCAAGTAATTTATTTTTTTTAATGAAATCTGAGTAAAATTAAATTACTTGGTGCATTCTTATTGCTGAATGCTTTGGTATTCAGTGCCATTGCTGTAATAACAGAGTTTTATTTTTCAACTTGAATGCTAATTTTGAAAAACAGTATTTGCCTGATATTTAAAGGTATTTCGTGACTTGGCTATGCTGTAGTTCCTTATACATTTGAAGTAAAAACTGTAAACTAACCTAGGAAATACAAATTATCTGAATAATTCTGATATAGGATGTTGGCTACTACTGTTTCTGCTGTTTGCTTTGGGTTTTATTTAACTAATCCTACTTGTCTAGAAGCCTCAGAGTTTGGCATTGCGCCACAGGGGAAATCAAGAACATAACTACTCTTCTGCTTTTTTAGTGCAGATCTCCTATAGATTGAGAGGTGTTCTTCATCCTACTACTTTGAATCCTGTGAAATTATGATAAATTTTATGTAGATACTTACAATTCATCTGTTTCACAGTTACCCACAGCTACAGCAGAACAGGATTATTGCAACTCTGATGGCACAAGGGGTTGGGGGCTACTAAATGGGCCTGGGGTTCTCCTATGACCAAACATAGAACAACCCTTTAAAATTATATTGGTTTTATATTGGATGTTACCTTGATTTGTGACAGTCCAGTCAGTTATTTAAAGCTTAGTTAACTGTTCTTTAAATTGCACGTATTACCTGTGAAATGAAGTGGAATCAGTCTGACCACTCCAGGCACGTGCACAGATGTGGGGTCAGTGGTCAACACTGAACTCCCGCCTTTGGAACTCTAAGGACAAAGTTAATTTTGATGTTTAAAAAGTCATGTGAATTATGTACTACTTGATTATTTGTACTAACATCAAACAGTAGCAGGGGGGAACCTGGCAGTCATTACTATAGGCCAGTTCTTTGGGTGTGCATTGAACTGCTGATTGTTTGCCTCCTGGAATTCATATGTTTATATTCATAAGTATGAGCAGTTCCTGTCATAAAGATGCAGTTAAAGTAACAGTGAAAAGTTTTGGTAGCTCTTAATTAATGTGGGCAAAAATTAATTCAGCTTTAGGAATTCTTTCTACTTGGGTGACTTTCTTCTGGAAAAGTGGCTTCACAACTGTGGCTCCTTTGTATCTATATTGTCTTTAAACTGTATGTCAGAACCTTTGCTTTCCTTTTTTTTTTTTTTTTTTTTTTTCCTTGCAAGTCAAGGGTTTGTTCTGTACAAACAAATCTTAATTGTTTTTGCTGCAGAAGGTTTTCCAAAATACTATTTAAGTATAGCAGTACAATCTGGTTTTGATTATGGCTTCAGTAAGTTTATTTCTTCTGCTGGAATTTTAAACTGACATGGAGGTGTTAAATTACAAAATCATGCATGTTTCTGCTAAATGGGGCTTTTGGATGACAACCTTAAAGATTAGGGGACAGAGAGGATAAGGGAACTAGATGCATGTGAAAAATCAGATATTTTTTCTATATAATGTGAAATTATTCAAGGTCTAGTGTAACACCATTGGTCAGTGACCTCAGCTAGCTTAAAAGTGCAATATATATGAAAGTTGCCTATTGAAGCTATTATGATCTTGCTTGATTCAGAGATTAGGGCTATATCCCAGTTTTGGGATGCTTCAGACAATGTCAACCCAAGGGGAAAAATGAACATATACCTGTCCTTTCCTCTCCCCTGGGAGGAGATGGCAGTGATGCTGAGTGCAGCTTCTTTAAGTTGGTGGGCTGGGTTAGCTCATACTGTCAGAAAGGGTATTTGAAATACGTTGTATCTCTTGAAAAGGGTTACCAATTTTCCTTGCTGTAAAGGTATATTATATTACTTCTAGCTAGCACGTGATGTCTTGTATTTTCCCTTCTAATATAAGAAAGTTGTGACTATTACTGTGAAATTCTAGCTTTGCATGCTTTTTCTGATTGCATCACTTTAATACCATGACAAAACTAGCATGCATATTCTTTTAAAAATTATTTGTGAAGTCTGATACTGAATTATGTTCTTCCAATGATTCAAAATTTGATGTTATTTGTAAGTAATTATGTGGGGAAAATTTGCGAGTAAAATAAGTTGATTGTTTTTTTTTTTTTTTTTTCTAGATCAATGTTCTTCAGTCTAAAAGGAGAGCAGAAATCTTAAAATCGGTGAGGTATACTTTATTTTCTGTATAGAAAAAATATAAATACAACTGAAATTAAAAATGTGACTGCAAAGCAGTATATTAAAAATGTAGTCTTTTTACACATCAAATCATCAGTACATTTGGCACTTTGATAGTCAGTTTGGTCTTTACTATATCTGGGCATAGATGCTTAACCAGTTTTGGCAATCCTTTTGGTTCAGATTTGAACTTTCACTGCTGTTGATTCATTGGTAAGTGTTTCATGGTTAAAATTGAACTTTGTCTGCCGAGAATTCTGCTGTTTAGGTCTGCTGTATTAATTTATAAACAATATGTACTACTTAACTCATTTTAAGATGGATTCAGTTCTTTCTACAGAAATGGTATTTATGTAAATAGAATATTGTAATAGCAAATACACAATATTTTTTAGTATGGTATCTGCTAAATGAATATATAGCTATATCTGTATGCTAGTTTTCTTCTGATTCTGTTCCCTTTTATGCTTCACATAATCTCTGTAAAAAGTTTACTGAGGTAGAGACTTCCAAATTAAATGGTGCTTTTCTTTCAATTGTCTGAAGTTGTACTCCCATGATTTCCTTGATTCCTTTAAATAGCAAAAACTTCAGTTGAATCACAGCTTTATAGCTGCTAGCCATTCTGTTCTGCGTCTTCCCAACTTGTTTTCTTTTTTAAGACTGGACAGTCTTCTCAGCCATGTTCATAAAGGTCATGGTTCTTAATCATTAGTAAATATATTCTGTAGCCCTTCTCATGATTTACATGCCCTAGTTAAACAGGAGATAAGATAAGTTTCAGGTGACATGAATTAGAAGTAATTTTCTGCCCTTAAGTAGATTTGCTTTGTTTTATTAATGGGGTTAATCCTATTAGCTGATTTCTGAGATTTTTAGCTTGGTTCAGTGTTCCAAAGTTACAACATTGGAAACTCTGAGATATTGATGTAAAATTGCCAGGACACAGTAGAGCAGAAACAAAGCCTGGAATTGTATTTTAGGTTTGCTCATGTGGCTTACTTAAGTTATATGTTTATATTATAGCTGATAAATATTTATCCTTTTTAAAAATATGCTTTTTTTTTTCTACCTTCTAGATGCTATCGTTTATGTATGCCCATCTGGCTTTTTTCCATCAAGGCTATGATCTTTTTAGTGAACTTGAACCCTACATGAAAGATCTTGGTGCACAGGTAAGAAATTATTGTGAAAATTTATAACTATATGCTGTAATGGATGAAAACTGGTATGTGTACATATTAGGTATATCATAGACAACAAAAAGGGGATAGTGGTGTGATAAAGGCAAAGTGTAAAAATACACTAAGTGGTTTGAATGAAAACAGTTAGAAACTGAAAGCTGTCTGTTTACCTTTAGGATTTACATGCTTAAACATAGCCATGTGGTGCTGTTTGAAGTACTCTAGGATATTTAGGCCACTGGATTATTTTTGTTTTAAAATTTTTGTCAATGACCTATGTTATATTTAACAATAAGTAGAAGATTAGGGTTTTTTCCTTTTATTTTTGTACATTATTCGCTGTATAAATTATGCAGTATGTCAAAAAATAGCACTGATGATAGTAATTTAGACCACAAACCAAAATTCTGATTTTAGGGAGTAGTGCAAAACTGAGTTCGTACATTGAATCTTTCATGTTCAGTTTTGTTGTTTAAGTTTAAAAATGCACAGTTGCAACTTCTGGGTTTTCAGTGAGGGACCATGAAAAGGTGAGATGGACCACAGCCAACTGCACACAGGAGACATTGAAAATGGTTATGCAAAATAGATTAAGAACATACAATGTTCAACTGAAGATTTGTCTGTGGTACAGAAATAAGACTCGGCACTTGCTTGACTTGTTTTCAGTGCAAGTTGAATGGGCCTGGAAATACTTTTAAAACACCTTTTTTATTTTACTTTTTCCCCTCTACCCCAGGACTTGCAACAACTGCACTGATGCAAACCCCTCTATTGCCACTTCCCAATGTGATCCACAAAGCCAACCCAAAGTCGAAGCGTCCGTCCAGCTACAAAAGCAAATAATTGAGAGCAAACACTTATTTGCATTCATCTCAAGTAGATGTGTCATGGAAGGTCTAAGAAATTATGCTGTTCTGAGCTGGTTATTCCTGCCACAGCACTGTTGTCATCTGTGCCCTTCAACCTGCTTCTGTGTCTGTGCAGTATAGCAGATTGTGAACTGTAGAAAGTAACTCCAACAAACAAATGTCTAAATAGTTATTTTTTTTTCTAGACTAGTCCCCAGTCACGTTACTATGGTTCTTAATTACTTGTACAAACACACGTTAGGGAGGTGTGTGTCCGTGTGCTTGTGTGTGTGTCCGTGTGCTTGTGTGTGTGTCCGTGTGCGTGTGTGTGTGTCCGTGTGCGTGTGTGTGTGTCCGTGTGCGTGTGTGTGTGTCCGTGTGCGTGTGTGTGGTGAGCAAGTGATGGAGTTGAGAAGAGAGACAGACTGCTTGAGCTGGCACTGCCATCAAGAAGGAAAGTGACTGTACAGCTACAGCCATCTGTGTTTGGTGTAAGAGCAGCACTTGAAATATTCAGGTGCACATGACTCTGTCCTTAGTTGTGCCTTTTATTCTTTCACATCCTTCCATTTTGGGTTGTAATTGTTGAACTGTAGTGTTTTGATAGTATAGAATATCTGTCATGTAACTCTGCAGAAGAGGGCGTGGGGAAAGGAGACAGAAGCGATGGAGCTGGTAATGGTTTATAGTAACAGCTAGGCTTTAATGTTTCCATTTCACTGAGATCATTTGAGCAAGGAATGCAAGGTTAGTTTTGAATAGCTGGTCATCCTTTTGCTTGATCTGGTAAGGAGCGTTATGTAACATTGATTTTGGTGCTGGTATCATAGCAACTGAAGGAGTTAAATTTAGAAAATCCGAAGCTGAGAATGTTTAAAATATACTGCAATTAGAACAAAGATAGACCGAAGTCCCTAAAGTTGTACAACTTTCTGAATTATTCTTTTATGTCACACCTTGGCGCTTAAGTAATGGATATTTTTCATGACAGAAGCAGACTTGTAAATAGCTTATGAAAGCTTCACAGTTAATGGCTTTGCAGTTTGTACTGGTTGAAAATTCTGCCCTTAACAGGTCAGAGGGAGGGTGTGTTGTGACATAAACCAGGGATTTGCTAGATTTTTCTGAAAATACTGTCAAATTCTTTCTGTTGGTAAATGACTTTCCATTCCTAGGTAAATTTTGTGTATGATCTTAATTACAAGGTTTAACAGCACCTTAAGTATTAAAGTTGAAGTGACCTTGAATAGTGTAGTTACAATTTTTAATTATTTTATTTTGCATTTTCAAAATAACTGGTTTATGTGACAGAATAGGATTGAACAATTTTGCTTTCTGGATGCTTTAGGTTAACGTAGGATTACTTGTGAATCAGATCATTGTAGGGGAATCTCTAATGGCACACAAGTGTAATATAAGCTTTTGTATGGAAATTATGGTATTTGGCACTTGTAATATGAAATGTGGTATTAGTTTAAAAAGAAAACCTACTCAAATTTTATTTGAGATGACTATTCAAAAACCTAAACATTTCAGTCTGACTTAGTTATCTACAGAATACCACTTACAGCACTATATGTTTATAAAAATACATTTACCAGTAAATGCAATATTTTGAAAGACCTAATTTTTGAAGACTACACAGTAGTGGTATAATGGCTGTGATTTTCATAGTTTAGTTATGTGATTGGCCACAGCTCTTCATAGTTGTATGCTGTTGGTCTTTTTTGTTTGGCAGCTGATGTGCTGCTCATCTGAGTGAAAACAAGAAATTCTGGTCTGAGCTTGGAAACTGTAATGGTGCAATGCTGTCTTGATAGTAAAAAAAGTAAATGTTAAAATTAACTTACATTAAGAACTTTATTTTGATATTTATGCTGTGGTAAATGTATCTTCAAACACTTGTATTTAGGGCAATTACCTCTAATTTATCTTAATCAGAACATGGCTACCTTTTGTTTCATCTGGCAGAGTAGGAAGAATAATGTCTTGGGGCCCATGTGCAAATTCCTGAATCAGGTTTTAGCAAGAAACTTTTTTCCTCCAAAGTGTTTAACCAGCCCTTGAACCAGTTCCCATCTTTATCACAAAACAGTGGGTTTCACAGGGTTCTTCTTGCAAAACAGACTTGGAGCACAGTGGCAGTCCAGTCTCTGTTTTAGGGACTCTTCTATAATTTTTCAGTTGTGTAGCTACATAAATACGACATCTGGACACCTCAGTCTTTAACATGTTCATGTTCACAAATACCTGGAAGATGGGAAAGTGCTGGTATAGCCATTTGAGCTGTGAAGAGAAGAGTTAAGAAAAGTAGCAGAGTATGGAATTGGATCCAGAAGCCCCAGCTATCTGCTGGCTCCTTAATTGTTGGAGACTGTCTAGCACAAGGGTGGAAGAGGCAGTTACTGTCCCTTTTTTCTCTCATTTTAATAATTTCAAGTGGGGGAAATACAACATCAGGGAAAATGGCCAGAGTTGGCAGGGATGCTCTCACTTGTGAGAGTGGGTGGAGGTGATCCTATTTGTGTGTGAATTAGAGGTTCAGTTAGTCATGCTGTGCCCTCTGCCCCGTAACTGGCTTCAGCTGGAAACTGGTCTTGCACACTGGTTCTGGTCTACTCGTTCTAGACCCAGAGTAGAATGAGGTTTGCCCCACAGATGTAAAGCTGCAGGCTGTACTGCTGTGTTCAGTGTTCCATCTGCGTCGTTATTCAGTAAGATGCTGTGACTGGGGTTAATGGCAGTCTTGTGTTACAGGCTGCATAAAGGAGGAGTTCATCAGATTCCAGTGTGTCACATAAGTATCAAGATAACTGGTCTTTCAGGCAGCATCTGTTCCTCCACTTCACTACATTTATTATTTAAACATCAAAGTCTGAAAAAAACAAAACAAAACCCACAGCCAAACAACAAAACAAACAAAACAAAACTAAAAACCACCATCCTTTTACATGATATCTTAAATTTCCTGCTTTCTTTTTTCTCCTGGTTTGAAAAAAACAAATATTAAGGTGTTAGTGCTATAGACATGCTTGCAGCAAGTTCATCTCTCTTAATTTTACAGACTTTGTAAGGATGCTAACTTAAATTCTCTGTGTTGTGACAACCTTTCTTCTGTGCAAAATCATATCACTGTTATTTCTGAAACTAGAAACAGTTTGAATGGTTCTACCTTGCATTTCAAGGAATCTTGCTCAAATACTGCTGGTGACCCAATCAAAACTGTCAATAAAAAAGTCAGGTTGAGGCAGTTCCCCTGCTTTTTGGAGGAGAAAAATCACTAGCATTTGCTCTTTCTAGTTTTTGCTGCGAATGCCAGTGCTGCTGCATAGGCCAGTCAGCCAGCAAGAGCAGCTAAAGCATGAGTCATTCTCTTCGGAGACTGAGCACCAATGCGGTAGAGAGTCGCATATGCTTGGCACCATGCTGTTCTTTGAAACATTTCTTCTAAGGCTTACAAGAAATGTACACCTCTTCGTAGAGGTTAATTCAGGATGGTAGTGCAGTGCTTTAAACGAGGCTTCAGTGGTTATTCAAGGTAAAGACTTTGTGACCAGAGAAGTAATTATACTATGTAAATAAAACAAAAGTCATGCTATGTCTAGACATAATATGTTTGTCAGCATTATGAAAGCTACTAAGCCAAATTTCTCTTGATATCTAAAGATCCAATTTTCTGTTTCTCTTTACAGCTGGATCAGTTGGCTGTAGATGCTGCAAAGGAGAAGAGAGATATGGAGCAAAAGCACTCCACTATTCAACAAAAGGTACTTTAGAGAATGTAGAAGCCAGACTGCACACACATTTTTGTATTTAGCATCTCTCCCCAACAGTGCATCTCTGCACTGGGACTGTGAGGGATGGTATCTTTAGTGCAGAAAAATAGACTTAACACATGATTAAGCATAGGGTTGGATTGCAGATATTAATTTTGTATTACAGAACAGAATATTATGTTTAGTTTTGACTGAAACAGAACAGTAGAATTTATTTGAATGCTGGGACTCTAACATTTCATTAGAACTCTTAATTCCTATTACATCTTGGATTCAGTGCAGTTGTTGCCATTTCTCCCTCCTCTGTATCTGTAGAAGAGGTGTACATGCTGCACATTCCTACAGTCATATGTATTACTTTCTGGACTGTGTCAAAGAGTGCAGCACTTTGAGGTGGTGTGGCAGCTGCTATTGCATATAAAGAGCAAAAGTAAGCTTTTGTAAAAGCTGTCTAATGTATGGTGTTCAACTGTACACAAGCATGAATGATAACATTTAATTGTTGTTTTGGGAAAACTTGTATGTGCAATAATTTTTAATTTTGCTTGTTGAGAAAAATGCAGATGATGTGGGGGGAATGACTTCTGTTCTTTGGATGTTTCAGAAGCTCTAGATCAGTATTGGTTTTGCAGGTATAATGCTAGAAGTTAAAAGTATTTCCACTGAACTCTCCAGTAGTGAGCTAATACTGCAGGTACTTTTGAAAGGGATTAGATACCAGTTTAAAGGTAATGCAACACTTCTTACTCCCATTCAAATACATTCTGTATCTATTCAGGTGGCATAAATTTAAAAAAAAAAAAAAGCCTAATGTAAATGAAATCTGAGTAAATAAATTTAGGAATGAAAAATGTGCTAAGATTATAATTGAGGTAGCCTTAGTAGGAGTCAATATTAGCACTAATGGGAATAGGTAACATTTTTGGTTACTGAATATGTTTTTGTTGCTTCATCCCCTTATTCCTGCAGGAGTTGGTGAGAAGCATTAGGATTGCTGTAACTGTGAAATTGAGCAGACACAGTGGTGGGGTTTAGGGCAGTGCTCATGTGCTGTGTTTGGAGGCAGTCAGGAGGTGACTACAGGCAAGGAAGGGGAAGAAAGAGGGGAGGTTGGAAAGAGATGGAAATTGAGAATTCACGTTGATGTTGAAATTTATATTTTTGGGGGCTCAGTGGGCCCACTTTCAGGAGTGGGCAGTAGTTAAGGGTTTTACTGTTAGAGAACAGTAATGCTTGGTGAAGGATGTGAGTTATGGGCAATTATCTTTTAGTTGACCATACAACTAATAACTTGTTACCATGAATTATGGTCACTGCTCTTGCAAATGGTGTTTACAGTCTTTGTTTTTCTTTCAAATGCTGCTTAAGGCTGCTTTACAGGTAAACTATTTCTAATACTATTAATGGTTATTGAAACTTTTAAGCTTCATGAAACTTGATAAGCTGTATCTGTGTATAATATAAATATTCTTGGTTTCTAGTACAAATGGCGATCGTGATGAGCTTATTTATATATTGTTCCTTATTTTAATTGAATGACAATTGTACATTGTCTCTAAAATATAATCAGGGCAGCCAGATTGTATGTTGTCCTCTAAAGTTCTGTGTTTCAAGTTCTATATGTTGTCTCCTGTCCTTATCAGTGAGGTCATTGGTGCGTTTTTGTGATGATAATGGCTAGATTAATGCATCTAGGTTTTGGAGGGCATGCTTTATTGGAGATTCCTCTTACAGCTTGTTAAATAATTTTCCTAGTTTCTTACTCAAATCATGTTGTCCGTCTGTGTTTTATCTCCTCCTCCTTGCTTTTCCCAGCCTTGTCACCAAGTTTGCTTCCAGCTCATCAGGATTTCAGAATCTTGAACTGCCTTAGACCTTGGATCTTGTTCTTTGTATCATTAATTGTCATCCAGTCAACCTGACCAGGATGGCAACCTTGTTGTCATGGCTTGTTGTGTTGCTTTCCACTGGGCTGCCTCTTAGGCATGTGTTCCCAAATCTTCCAGTGCCAAGTTCTTCCATGTTTTATAACTACTGAAACTTTTGCTTTTTGTGTTGAATATTCCATGAGGTATATATGCATTTTAATATACTGAAGTTTTAATCTAATGCTTCAGAATGATGACTTTTCTTCATTGTGTGGATAAAGAACAGTTCCTTTTCTGAAATGTATAGGTAAGTGCACATGTGCACACACCTACCCACCCACTACCTGTGTTTGCATATATGTGCATATGCATGCAGAATAATTGCACTAATTAAATAACTCATCTTGCTTCTTTATGATCATCATCCTATACAATTAGGCTTTTGTCTGAGAGAATAATATAGTCATGGAAGGGCTTGGTTGCCACTATAGTTTGATTTCTATTCTAAGACAACTGATGTCTGATTTTTTTCTTTTTAACTTTTGTGTTTGATTTACTCAGCAAATATGCAGGAAACAATTTTTTTTTTTCCTTAGTGTAAGATTTTTTTCACATTAATCTGAAGCAACACATACTATGAATTAATCAAGAAAAGTCATTATCATTTTGGGAACTTTTTGCAATATATTTTTACAGGGAAAGATTCATATCAAAAGAGTGGTGTCACACTGTCAGTATCACTTAAGACTTGTAACTCTTGTTTTCTGAGCAGCTTGCAGCCCACTGCTGTAGTAAAACATTGAATTAAGAAATAATTTAAAAATCAGTTGGACCTTTAAACCGCATTATGGCTTTTTAGTTTTGTGACAGAGATGATATTTTGTTTTAAAATGAGGGAAATGATACAGGAAAAACATTTGCATTGAACTTCAAATAGTTTTCGTTGTATTCAAATCCCTTTTTCATTAAAAAAAAAAAAAAAACAAACAAAACAAAACAAAAAAAAAAAAACACAAAAAAAAAATGCTTCCAAAGAACTACTCAGGAAACAGCTGGAGTGAGAATGATTTGAATGATCTTTAACATCTTGACTAAACACGGTGATAGGAAACCAGATGCTACCACAGTCATAAAGCAGGCATATACCAGAGCTGTTGTTGAGAAGTAATGCAAACTAATTCCTGTCTCAAAATACAAAGATGTGCCAATATTTCAAGTGACTTACATGCTCAATGACGATCTTGTCTTTCATTTTATCTTGGGCTGTAAACCTTGCTACTTGTATCTGCTGTTTTAAGCCCTCCTTCAAGGGATGCTCAACTGAAGCAGGACAAATCTCTCTCTTGCTGATGGGATGGGAATGGAGTGGAAGCAACTTTCTAAACTAGGGCGTTGCACAATTAGTGTTTTCTGTTTAGTTCATGCTGGAGTAACTTTTCCGGTTAGTGTTTTCTTTGGTACTTATGTTCTTCCATTTTACTGCCTTGTTAAAAACTTTTAAAATCCTACTTCTCTAAAGTGAAAACCATATTGAATACATATTCAATGTTAAAATGCTGATATGCACACTCCCTAAGATTTACTGGTAAAATAGCTTCCATGACCAATCTTCATATTGAAAGTAAGTCAAAAACTGCTGCTAAAAAGTATGGGGGCTTATGTTTTGGTAACAAGAAAATTATATGTAGAGAAGCAGAATACATGCAAGCTATGAAGTTAATACAGTATGTGTGATAAATTGATAAGATAGCATGAAAATTCATTCACTGAAACACTGTCAAGAATAGTTATTATAATGTGACCCATCAGATCAGTATTAATTGTGGAAATGAAAGTTGTTTTTCCATTGCCAGCTGATTTGCTGTCCCTCATGGACATTTAAAGGGAAAGGGGAAATGAAAAAAAAAAAAGTCATGAAGGCATGCTGTACGTTTCACTTATATAACCCACTTCTACATGTTTCTCTTCCAGTAGCTGGCCAACCTTGAAAAATGAGTATCAGAATCGAAGCCTTAAATGTTCCTTCCTTCAGATCTAAATAAAATGTGCAATACAGCACTTCAGTGTAGCTTTCATAATACTGGCTCTAAATTTTCTTAATTCTGATTAAGTGAAATGTACTTCAGTCCTGACACCTAATTAGTAAATAAATTATGTTTAAAATTCAGTCTTTATTAGCTGCACATTTAGTTAAGGAATAAAAAATTCTGAATCACTTAAAGTGACTGGGTTTATTAACATGTGATTCTCTTATGCAGGAAAGATGTGGATGTATTTCTCTCCACCCCCTGCTTAGTTTTTGTGATTCACTAAACTTTTCCATGTGCCAAGATAAAAATAAACTATAACGTGACTGCTTTTCTCCTATCATTTAATTAGAAAATAGCAGAGACTATAAGATCAGACATGGATTATTCAGTTCCTTTTTCTACTTTTATCCTTTTATTGAAATGAAGTGGGGTTTTTTTGTTTGTTTGTTCATCTTTTTCCTGATTACAACTTTATCAATGAAGTTTTACAGATAAAGCATCTGGAAGATTTACTGCCCCCTGTCCCCAGTTGGTAGTCTGCTATGTATAGTTAGGAAAATAGTAAACATTTGTCTGTATACTCTTGTGTCTTTATCTGTTCTATAAAGGTGGAAGTCCATCAGGGAAGCCATTAAAAATGACACTAAGTGCACTTCATGAGGAAGGCTCAGTACTTTAAACAATTTGGACCGAGAGTGTAGCATGATAAATGATCCAAAGGAGTTTTCCTGTCATGCTTGTATATGTCTTCAAAGCCTAAATCTGGATTCATTGGAAAAGACAGTTACATTTTTCTGCAGCAGTTCTCCAAACCTTGAGGAAAATATGATTACATAGTGGTTTGGACAGAAAAGACTGAGGGAATGTATGTTGTCTTTCACTCGACAAGGAGTTGCAGGCATCACTGAGGCAGGAAGATGCAGATCTTTAGCAGGTTTCATTATGTTTGGGAGCTGGTAAGTTAGAATAATTTAAATTCTTTGGGGATTGAGTGAATGTGACATCAGCATGTCTAAGTCTCTGTTTATAGGGAGTTTCTCCTGGGGATTTTTTGGAGAGGATAAGAAAAAACAGAAAGGACTTTTTAACACTTTGAGAATGTTTGTGTATGTCCTAAGTTTTGAATTACTAAGTTAGAATTGTACTGTGATATTTGGCTATTTGTACTTACATGAAACCTTTAATGTTCAGCACGTTCTGATCTAGAAAATGGGCAGAAAATCAAAGTTATTAAATACTGAATAATAAATGCACAAACTTGTGATTTTTGAGAAGCTTTTATTTGCAACCTATATGTTCGTTCAGATCAGTATATGGTAGTGATATACTAGTTCATTTTTTTTTTTAACTCTAACTTCTACATTGATCTTCTGCCAGTGAATTAATAAAAATCTAGATTTAATATTTCAAATATTATTCATCTATTCAAATTAGTAATAGTTGAAAACACTGTGAGTAATTTTATGGAATTTGGTGCTGTGCTGGCCTGGGAGTGTAAAGGGTCCATTTTTTTGTTTGTAACTACTTCACTGTCTTGTTTAATAACCTTGGCTTGGACCAGACCATCTGCATGTATAAGAGTAAACATTGTGTGTAGCAGAGAAGTTGTGTGCAGGCTGGACTATTACATAGGGCTGGCTAATGGTATTGGTTTTGAAGATGACTTTTTTTGGTATAGCCTCTTTTCTGCTATGTGTAGACAAATTCCTTAGGAGCAAAGTACAAAACAGAGATTTAGAGACACTTTTCACACAAAGCTGTTCTCAGTTTACAAAAAGTACCTGCTGAAGGTATGGCAGAGTGACATTATGAAATGTCCTGCATCTTCAGTATTTAACTTGATTTTTTTTTTATTTTTTTTTTTTTTATTGTTCTGAAACTTGGCTTTTGGTGATGTCTCACCTGCTCTAGTTAAGGGAAAGAAGCCATATCTTGCTAGTCTACTTTAAGGATATATTGTACTAACTGTGAAATTAAATAATAGCATGTATATTTGATCTCTGGATGCAGCTTACAATAAATTATGTTATTCCATGTGTGCTTTTTCATGCACCCCTGGTAGCTGTTAGCTTCCCACTCACTGAATACCTGAGCTCCACAGCTCCCTGGGAAGAGTCCATGCTGTTTCAGATGAGATATGAAAGCAAATAATCACCACATATACTGTTATTTAGTCTATTCTACCTTTGCTGGAAATGTGAAGCAGTTAACCTTTCTAAAACTTGTAAAGCTGTTATTAACTCTTATTAACTGTTATTATTTGTTATTAGATTGATTGAAATGTATATTCCCTTGTCCTACTTCTAGCTTCATGTTCTTATCAAAGATCATAAAAAATTACTGCTAAGTTGTTGTCATCATTGTCAGCACCCTGACTAATTTAGAGATACTGGTAGCAGCATCTTCATTTGGTAACTTGTCTTCTAAGTTCCAATCTGGCTCACTTGTCAAGATGACAGAGCTGAAGATGCTGCTAAAGCATGACTGCCTCTACAGAGTTGCCTGCAACAGGCTGCAATTGCTTTTCAGTTTTGACCCCTAACTCCCATTGCCCCTTTTTCTCTACCTTACTCTCCCCTTTCTTTGGAATGTATGTGAGACCATTTGAGCAAACAACTGAAGCATCAGATGCTCTGTCAGTAATGTCTGCCCTCTAAGTAGAGGTCACCAATACTTGAGCAAGAAATTCCCCTTTTGTGCAGGTAAAGTAGAAATCATCTTCAGCATTCTGATCTCCTAAAAATGCTTTTGAAAAAAAAATTGTCAGGGGCTGAGAGTCATGGCTTGACTAATCAGTGTTGCAAGCAAAACTTTATTCCTAAATGTGTGCTCTTTTTGACATTAATACTGCCCATATTTGAAGTTTCATTTGAAACTGCAATGTCTTTCTTGTCTTGTTCCTTTGTACTAGGATTATTCCAGTGATGATACTAAACTAGAATACAATGTAGATGCAGCCAATGGTATTGTTATGGAAGGTTATCTATTTAAGCGAGCCAGCAATGCCTTCAAGACTTGGAACAGGTAATTATTCAGAACCTCCATTTACTAGCTTGTTAAGATACTGCTTGTTAAGCTAAATTCTGGTCTGACTTAACTTATGCAACTCACTGATGCCACAGTTTTGACAGAACACTTGGACAACTTAATTACTGTAGAGATGACACTTCAAAGCCATTTTTCCTTATTGTCCTAGTGGTTTGCAAGCCTTTTTCTAAGAGTGTATCTTAGTCTGGAGAAGTCCTGTGTATGGAAAGCTTGCTTTGTGTACAGTCCAGCTCTGTAATTGCGTTTTGGCCTTACTTTGAGGTTGAAACAGAGAAGGCCTATGATTGTATACAATAAGCTATGTGATTGTATATACTGGGAAAATAAGTGTTAAGAGGACAAAGTAAAATGGAAGTTGTATAGCCATTGGAAGCAGAGAAGCACAGTGAAGGACTCGGGTTATTTTGTGTGAAAGAAAAGCATGGAATTGTTATCCTTTACAATTTTTGTCCTGTGCAGTGACTTCTCCTTAGTAGTTTTGATGGTCCTGTTGGGAATTCAAAATACTTGTTAGTCATGTCTCTAACAATGTATACTTTACTATTGTTTAAATATTTTTCTCCTTGAATGGGATTTCTTTTTCATTTCCAATGGTGTACACTTTTTCACTTTTTTCAAGGAAATGTTATGTATGCTGGAGCATTTACAGTATAGATGGATACAGTTCTTGTATTTTAAAGTTTATTGGTTGTAAAAATGACTCTGTATCACTGTCGTATGCTCTGCAATTTTTGCAGCAGTTCTGTTAAATTATTTGCTGTTTCAAAGGCCAGAATGGGCATTTGGGAATGTCGTCCCTTCCAACCTTAATTATTCTATAATTGCTTGAGGATCTTGGAACATCACAAGTCTATAATAAATTGGGATTAGTTTACTTAAATTTGTAGACTGATGCAAGGGCCACTGGTGTCAATAAGACTATCTGTATTAGCAAGTCATGTGCAACTAGTATAAGGGCTTTTGCTTTGAACTGCTTCTAGTCTGGTCCTCTGCTCTGATTATCCATCTGTAATTGTAATTTGTACCTTCTGGGTTAGTTTCATGAAGAGTTCTCCAAGACAAATCTGCGAGGCATCAAAGGATTGTGAAGGGAGAAAACCGAGAAATACTGTTCAAAAGCATGCTCCTGTTCTGAAGTAAAATGTTAGTGTAAGCACACTGAGAGAAATCCACAGTGACGGGGCAGGAGATTGTCCTTTGCTGGATTCTCAACAGGCTGGAAGGGTCCTTTTTGCAGGATTGACTGCAGCCTCTTGATAAGTGACAGAAGGCAAAACCGACCCGCTCTCTGGGTTCGTCTTTTAGATAGCATAGAGGTCCTGCTCTGTAGGAAGGGAGCAGGACAGGAGTGTTGGAAAGTAGCTGAGAAATATCCTTCTTCCACATGGCTTCATACCTAGTAATGCTGTACGTGTATCTTAAGGTAGTTAGGAAGTAGGATTCAATTATAACTAACTTCTGTGTGTTGGAAATTTAAATGGACACAAAATAAATAGAGAAGTCATGATTAAATCAAGATGCACAGTGACGTTTAGGTTAACTTACAGGCTTGAGCATATGTAATAAAAACATATCCAAACAATAAGTTAGTTAAGAGAGCCAAGGCAAACAGCTCCGTAATGAGTCAGAACTACCTACTTTTACTATTTAATTTATGTTTGCTTATAGTTTTTTCTTCTATTTGTCACAGGAGTGTTCAATAGAGCTAAACCTTTAACTCTTTTTAATCTTAGATTCTTGATAACTTATCTCACTGTGATAGGCTAGCTGGATGCTTAAGAATTAGGTGGAGAATAGCATTGGATAGGCTATCTATAAACACAGTTTAGAAATTGAATCAATCATTTTAATTTTGTACTTCACATTCACAAACCATTACTAGTTGTTATGAAACTACTACTATTAAAATATGTTTAAGACCTTCTTAATGAAGGCGACAATTAGTTTCTGAATCTAGCCCCATTTTTCATGTTTTAATAAAGTATTTATAACTTTAATAAAGTATTTATAAGTTTTATAAGTATTTTTATTACTGAATACATTTGTAATCGCTTGCTACGTTGTAGGCACTGAAGTGGTCATTGCCAGTTTCCACTGCCAATTTCCACCAATGGAATGCTTTACTTAAGTAGTATTGCAGTTTCAGGTGCAGGGAGGTAATACTGACTAAAGTTTACCATATATTAGAGATGAGAGTGTTTTTCCAGTCTCTAGGTAGAGTACAAGAAAGGACTGTGTCATTGCATTAAACTGTTCTGTGCATAAAAAAAGTACAATGCAATACCAAAGGAGGAAACACTTAGAGAATTATGTATTTTATATGAGGGGATTCGGAGCTGAGGTCAGAGACCCCAAGACAGACAAGGTATTTTCAGTGTTCTTATTGGATAGGTAGCTTTGCTGCTTCATTATATGCCCATCTTTGGGGGAGATGGGTGGAAAAACAATGAGCTGAAACAAAACCAGAAGAATCTGCCTAGGAAGAAATACTGGAATTTCCTGATATTTTGAACCAAGGGCGATGGCACTGATCTTTCTTGCTGACTCTTGATTGCACTGTCAGCAGTGATCAGTGTTTAAAATGGTAGCTTCTCTTTTCCCTCTGTTGGTATCAGTTGGTGTTTTGATGGTTCTGGGCCTTTTAAAGTAGTCCACTAAGACTGAATTAAAGGCACCAAAAATCATTGCGATTATTCTTAGTGTATACTTCCAGCATGAAACACATAAGAGAAAAGGAAATGGTGCAATGGATTTTGTCTGGGCTTGACACGCATCAGTATGATTCTAGGTAACAAATAATTGTGATGCTTATGTGTGCACGTCTTGGTCAGTGAATCCATGGACAACATAATGGATTATCCTGGGAAAAGTCTGGTTGCTGGAGGAGAAAATCAAAACCATATAATGCAACCCTTTGAAGGGGTGCAAATCTGTTCTAATAAATGATAACTTATTTTATTTCTAACCCAAGCTAATTTCTTGCTAGGATGATATAGTTTACTTCCTGGAGCAGCTGGTAGCATGGGTTTAATTGTCTGAAGACTTTAGTTATCTGGGCTTTTGCATCAAGTTTCCTGTTCGGGGGATAGTTGTTTGCAGTCACTGGCTTGGGAAACAAGTAGTGTTTGAACAGGTTATGAAGGAAGCCACAAGAGCTATTTGCAATTCAGTGTTGCTGTATTTTGAAAGAGCTGGAGATTTTGCAATCTCTCTTTATTGTGACTAAATAAAGAGTGTATAATGTACATGAGTATTTCAGATAATATACTTTAGTGGAATCAAAATTATATCTTTGTACTAGAAAGTCACAGTAACAGGTATGGAGGCTTATATTTTGAATTTACGTTTATCTGTTTATAGATGATGTATCTTACTGCACACAATTTTTCTTAAGGCATCAGGAACTGAAATTAGGTGCATTTATTATTGTGGAGCAGTAGATGGAAAGCTGTTTTGGCTCCTAGAAATTCAAATGAAAAATAAGTCCATATTGTGAAGAAAGATATGCATGAATAAATGTGTAGGGAGAAAAGCTTTTATCAAACACTTTTATGTTCTGAATATTTTTTTAGGTTGGATGCATTAAGTATTTTCCTTTTTAATTCTGCTGTATTTTCAGATCGTGCTAATTCTTTGCTTATTTTGCTCATTTTGCATTTTTCATTCCTTCTCCTCCTTTCCCTTATGTTTTAATCCTACCCCATTTTTTCACATGACAGGAAAAAGCCAGATCACATCAGGTACCAACCAGCTTCTTTTATACCTTCCCAATGTTTCTTTGGCACGCAAAAAGCTCTTAATTAACCCTGCATTTAATTTTGATTACTTGCAATGGATGTGTAAGTGGCTCAGTCTAAGAAAATAACAGAAGGATTCTGCCTGGGATGCCAGTATACCTGCTGCTCAACACCTTTAAAAGAATTAGAAAGATTGAGCTAGTTTTAGCTAAAAAGGAATTAAAGTTTCTGCACTCAAACTTCTGAGCGTACAAGATCAGTGTTTGAACTTCTTCCAGTTGAAGTTGGTGAGGTTTTTCTTATCAACTGCATTGGAAATAGAGATGTAGCTTTTAAATGTTGTGCATTCTTAATCACACCATTTTATTTGTGTGCTGATAGCAACTAGTGAAGAAAACTGTTTCATTTTGAGAATCAGTAAGTATGTTTCATTTTTTATGTAAAAATCAAATAACTTCTATTTTTTTTTTTGTTTTACTCTCAGTTCTCAGAAATTGGAAATGTTTTTCAATTAGCTGTGTGTTGTTTCCTGTTTAACAATTTTTGAATTGTGTAGGTATAAATGATCAAAAGCAATCAGTTTCTAAACCCAAACAGCTATACTTAAGCAGTACTGACTGAGGCAGTGCAAATTACTTTAAGATTCCTGTGATGATCCCCAAGTATGTTTTCTCCTTCACCATGCTTCTCCTATTTTTGATGGAATAACACATTTAAAGAAACTTTGATAATGGTCAGTACTTACTGCACACATGTTGCCTAAAGGTTTATGAACATTAATTCTTAGAACAGGATAGATGTGGTATACACTATATCAGTATCTTCAGTACATATATTGTGCCTCAGAAGTTCCTGGCTGTTACTGCTGTAGACCCCCAACAGTCTGCTTCCTACAGTAATGAATAGTTTATTGAAGATACTTGGTTAATATGAAATAACACGAAGTTTCTGGCCTGAATAAACCTTCTGTGGTGCTGACACGTTGGAGGGGAGTCTGCCACTTTTATTTTTTCAAGCTTGCAATAAAGTGTATTATCTTTTATTTTCCATAGACACCTACTTTAAAAGTGTCATCTACAAGTTATGCTATGTTCTAAACTGTTGATCTTGTTCAATAAAAGTTTAAAACAAAAAAAATCAAAACCCCCCACACCTTTTGGCTGGACTGAAAAGTTCTCTTAGATTGAATTTCTCTACTAGAGAAAAAAGGGACTGTAATACTTTGGAAAATTCTAGAGTAGACTTTAAAAATGACACAAATTTGTTTTAGTTTGTGTGCACTTATGTCCAGTTGATCAGATTGGAGCTTATTTACTTTAGCAACTCACTAAATATTTAGCTGCAGAACAGATGAAGCATTATATTAATGAAGTTAATGACACTACTTAAAGCCAGTATTAGGGATTTGTTCCATTGCATGTTATCTTGGGACAAGTCTACATTTTTTTTTTTTCCTTTATCACTTAGGCACTGCTTCTCATGTTTTTCTATTTGGTGTTATCTTCAAAAAAAGCACATAAAAAAGCCTGAGTTTATTTTCCTTTTCTAGTCTGCTTTTTTGTTGAGTTACCTGTTTAAAGATTAGCCATAACCTGCTTTATGCTTGTATTTGAGGCTTAGTTACTGCATCTGTGGGTTTTTTTAAATAGATAGTAAAGGTGATACCTTTTAAATAGCAGTGACTAAAACCTACATCTATTAAAAAAACTGAAAACATAGTTAAATTTCTTCATTATTCTCTTCCATTATCTTAACTGGAAAAGATGACCGTTGCTATGTTTGGATATCCAGCATTAAAAAAAAGTCCTGTTGTTGCTTTTGAAATTAAATATATCTGCACAACATTTGAAAAGATTAACTGTTAAAAGGTAGAATCTCATCTGTCTACTAAGTACTAACTTTCCTAACAAATACTAGATTTTCTGATTTGAGTAACGTCTTTAAATATCTTGATTTTTCTTAATCTCTGTGTGCTTATTTTCATGAATGGCTTGTGGTGGTTGAATAAGTATATGGAGCCCTCTTATTACTAATTGTGGTAAACGGTAGCTTGAAGTTCACAGCCTGTGGAGAATAACAAGATATGTTGCAATACAATATCTTGTATACTGTCACCACTCAAACTAACTGGCAGTGCAGAAAAAAGTGATGTGTGGTATAAGTGGGATATTTGAGATACCCGTGGAATTATGCTTTGATGAACACAGGGTCACATTATAAGCCTGAACAAAACAAAAAGTGTAAATTTCACTGCAGGACTGAATTATTTTTTACTTTTCATTTTTCTGTCAGTTCAAAACCAGGCAATGGTTGGTTAGCTTTCATTTTGCGCATCACCAGAAGAGATAGAAAGGAATTATTATGTTTGATACTTTTTTTTTTTATATTCAGTGGTCTGATAAAATGCAGTTGTCAGAGATCTGAGGCACTCATAACTTTTTTTCCAAACTATGAATGATTTTCCATTCTCTGTGAATTGTATCCTATCTGAACAGTGGCTTTGACAGGAAGGATACGGTTCAGAGGAGTTTTTAAGAATTATGTTATCTTTTGGACTTTATAGGATGCCTTCATTAAATCTTCTACTTGATATTTTCCTACAAACCTGAGGCTTAAGTTAGTATCCTACTTCAAAGGTTTCTCTTGGTTTTGCTTTGGTTTTGTATACAATCTTTTTATTTCAGCATCTAAAATTTTAAGGAATGCCAAATATAGATAGGCATTAAACCTGCATGGGTTAGCAACACTAGTATTTTTAGTGCCTTAGTAAGTTAGTTGTACTCTCAAAAATATTTCAGGAATGAGTGGTTTACATAGTTCAAGTATTTTTGTTATTCAAACTATCTGAATTTGTGTTATCAAACAGTTACTTAAAATTGTAGCTTGCTGCTCAAATACAGAAATAAATGTTCTTTGAAATGAAAATGTTTTGTGTGATAGCTTAACTAATGTTGTCGTAACATGAATGTGTTTGTTTAGGGCTCAAATTATTTGAACCTTGCTTTCCTTTCTGTTTTGTCTCTGCTTTCCCTTTTTTCGTTATTCCCACAAAATACTTGCCAAAACTGGCTGTGACGTTACTTTTGTGAATTCTTTTATGCAGTCTCTCAGTGGACTGTGTGTTAGTACATTTAGGTCAAATAAGCACTGTAAAATCAGTTATGTATTCTCTGGATGTCTCTTCATTTGAATAGGCGCTGGTTCTCAATACAAAATAACCAACTTGTGTACCAGAAGAAATTTAAGGTAGGTATAAAAAACTGTCTTGGGATAGTTTGGGGTGTGGGTGATGGTTTTCCTGACTGATCAGGGGAAAGAGAAACAATGCTGACATTGACATTCTGTGTGGTCTTCAACAAGCTACTGCCTTTTTCTAAATTAGTTTCCCCCTTTGTAAAATGAGACTAATATCTCAAAATCTGTAAGTGTAGCTTCCTGCACAGTGACTTGTAAGCACATACTTTATTTGCTGTGGGTTTTGTTACCTTGTTGCAGAGAAGGCTTATGAAGAGCCTTAAAATTTGTGGGGCCCCAAAGGCTTGTGCGCACTTGCTGGCAGCAACATATTGCATGATGTTTTTTCGGCAGTAGTGTTCAACTCTGTCAGGACTTGCTCCCTCCAGCTACTTACTGGGGTCACATACCCAATTTAGCAGTTGTGGGGGGAGGCATGAAAGCATTTGTTATGAAACAGTCAGGGATGCTATGTACATGTATTTAATACTGAAAATGTAAGGTGGTTTGGCAATCAATATCTGTCCTTTTGCTGGTGGGAAAGTACAGCTGTATATTACAGCAGCAAGTGCAACTCTGCCCCACGCTGTAGGAGCCAGCCTTTTCAATCCACATTTGCACCTCTGCTCCTTTTGTTTACTGTTCTAGAAACTGATTTTGCACCACATAGCTGTAACTGTTGTTCATGTTGGAAAAAAATAGAGAACTGTATGGAGACAGGAAAAAAAAAAAAAAAAAGAGGGAATAATTGATGACTATTTTTCTTCAATGTTAACAGACCAGGTCCAGAGACCTTGTTACCTGGTGGTATCACATAAAGGGTCTTTGGTTTTTGTGGTTGGAAAGGAAACAAACAGTTGAGTTTGTGTGAGCACACTTGAGTTGGGCATTTTGTGTCTGTGAATTCCAATTACGATTTTGGTGTGGTTTTTTTTTTTTTTTTTTATGTGCACCTTTAAAATGCCCTTAGCAGCTTAAAATAAAATTCTTAGGGATTAAATCAAAATTTCAAAACCACTGCATCCACATTCTGGTTTTTGTACTTGGCACTTATAATACTGCTGATTTAGGTATAATCTTTCTGATTTATTTGTGAGTTAATTACATTGCTTAGAAAGTATATTTGAACTCCTCTGAATACTGTTGCTTAAATTTAAGGTACTTTGTTTAGTCAATTGGATTGTAGGTAAAAAGGAGTTCTTCAAAGTTTGTAAGAAATTTTCATTAAATATTACTAAACATTAAAATTTATCTAAATATTTCCTGCTAAGTATCTCTGATTCCACCTACTAAAATTTTATTTTTGGAAGGAAAATTTGTATAAAAAAGGAAGTAGCATTAAAATATAAATAACTTGGGATTATTAGCAACTTTATTTCTTCTGTGTGATTTTTTTTTTTGTTTGTTTGTTAATTTTTGTCTCTTAGGATAATCCCACAGTAGTTGTTGAAGACTTGCGGCTTTGCACGGTTAAACACTGTGAAGACATAGAAAGACGTTTCTGTTTTGAGGTGGTTTCTCCAACAAAGTAAGGAGAAGTGAAGGAGTGTGTTTATTTTAAAATAGAAATCATTACATTTGATTGTCTTGAAATGCAAGGTTAACTTTCTCTTGGGATAGGTCAAAACATGAAAAGTATCAACAATTTTGTTCTCTGAAATTTTGGACGAGAGTAAGTGATGCTGTGAGAAGTGTTTGTGGTATTTAGTTTACTTTTGGCATTAAAATAAACATGCCTTCTTGTACATTATTCATAAACAACATGGTTGTGGAGCTGTTGTGGCTTAGTAGTAGCTAGTACTGTCAAGCTGCTTATTAATGTAGAAAATAAATCTCAGTTTCTCCAAATTTCTTATTGGTATAATGGGAGAGGAACTTATTAATAAGGTGTTGTCTCATTAGTGTTAAATTATATTTCAGAATGCACTAAATGAAACTACCAAATAAAAATATTTTACAGCTTTAGCAGTGCAGTGTACTGGTTGTATTTGGAGAAGAATGACAGCCTTGCTGCAGCAAGGGCAGGACATGGTTTTCTCATGAGTAATTTTGCAATGTGACCATATTTAAGTTTTTGATAAAAGGTCAACCAGTCTTTAGGTTTGGATGTTACCTGCGCTCCCCACTCCTACTTAAGTTTCTGTTATTAGTAGACTGCTGTCCTAATGTTCGCATCCTGGGTTATGGTTCACTTTGATATACATCTCACTCCTGCTTGCCTATACATTTTCAACCGTAAGTGTTGGAACAGTTTTATACCTAATGACCTGTTTCCTTTGACTGTTAGTGGGAAAGGTAGTTCATTCTTTGTCACAGAGCTTTAAAATCATTTTCTCTTGATCTCAGTGAATGAAACTGTTTTCAAGGACCAATACGTGTATCTTATGTAATTAGTCATGGAGGTAAACTGCATGTGAAGATATAAAAATGAAAAATTTGGAATAGGAGAAGAAAGGGAATAGGAAGCTAAGCTGTTCTCTGGGCTATTTGAAGAGTCATCTGTATGTCTTAGCATTACCTGCTAATAGTTTTGAAACCGGGAGTTTGCAATTCATAAGGGGTCAGCTGCTTTGCTATCTCAAAATACATGGGTTTATTAGATATGCCTAATAAACAATATACTTGTGGTGATAGCAAGAATCTTTCACAAGAGTTTGTATTTTATTGAACAGTGTTGTCTGATGTTAGCTGCTTGGTCAGTCTCTCTGAATCTGAGTGCACATGTGATTTGTCACAGAAGCTGCATGCTTCAGGCTGACTCAGAAAAGCTGCGGCAGGCATGGATTAAGGCTGTTCAGACGAGTATTGCTACAGCATATAGAGAGAAAGGGGATGAAGCTGAGGTGAGTTTAAAAACAAACCAAATTATAACCCCCCCCTTTAGATCCTGAAAATTAAAAATAGATAAAACCTCTTTTTGAGAGAGAAGGAAAAAACCAATCCATTGTTTGTCTTCCAGTGGAAATGCAATAAAATTCTGAAAGCTATGATTTGTATCTAATCTATCTTTCACTCCATTTTACTAATGTTACTTTGGCCTGATGATTTTTGTGTAGTGTGATGAAAATTCATAGGATAGTCCCTATTTTCAGTTCTGTATTTCTTCTAAAAAGCTAAATATTTTTTTCAGTTCTATGGCTTTCCTTGCCCTTTAAATGCAGAAGTTACTTTTCTAGGATTCTAATGCACAGTTAGTATCTGTAGGACTTTTATTTCTTGGATTTAGTGTGTATCTGTCTTGGTTTGTTTGTTTCCTTTTTTAGAAACAGGAAAAGAAATCATCTCCTTCTACTGGAAGCCTAGAATCTGGGAGTGAGACAAAAGAGAAGTTGTTAAAGGGAGAAAGTGCTCTGCAGCGAGTTCAGTGTATTCCTGGTAATGCTGCCTGCTGTGACTGTGGTTTGGCAGATCCTCGCTGGGCCAGTATCAACCTGGGAATCACGCTGTGCATCGAGTGCTCTGGGATACACAGGTTGGGGAACTCTTCAGAACTGTATTTGATTTGTGCGTTGACTTAATTAGGAAGGGTGGAGTTTGCCTCTTCAAATATATATTGAAGCAAGATTAGAGAGCCCTGTTTATAAACAGAATTAAGGTAACTGCTTATTTGCATAAATGAATAGTAAAGCTTTCTGAGGTAAGACATAGAACATAGTTACAGGTTAATATTTTTGTCATGCTATTTAGGAGCTTGGGAGTCCACTTTTCAAAAGTACGATCTTTAACGCTGGATTCATGGGAACCTGAACTTCTAAAGGTATGATAGTATTTGTGGAACAAGTTTCTATTTGGTACGAACATTGTTGTTCTAAAGCTTCTGTATCAGGAAGTTCAATGCAGGAAACACTCGCTTTTGTATCCAGTGCATGTCTTGCACTTTTGAATAGAAAATGTTTATAGCTGTGTGTTGTTTTTTCTAATTCCCAATTTCTTATACTACATCCAGTAGGAGTAGTCATTCTTGTTACAAACTTGCGAGTCGGAACAACTTATGACACCTTCAGGTTCACAAATGCACTTGAGTAAGTTAAATCTGATACTTTCAACATATAAAAGGGAAATCTGTTTACAGACCAATAATGCAGTGGGCTGAAAAACTTCAGAAGTGCTGTGTCAGCCTAAAGCTTGATCATACTTGAAAATTCAAATGCCAGCTCTTACAGTGAGATCTTGATTTTGTATTCCTACTGGCTGATAGGAGAACACTCATGCAACTGCTTGTGTGCTATTTGTGTGCCAAAATTCTAGCATGAAACATGGTCCTGGAAATCATGTGTCATTTAAATACCAAAATAGGAACTTGCACATGGGTGCATGTGTGTAACTGGATAACCAATGCAAAGCATTTGTTTCTATCTGTGATGTTCTTGTACTTAGATATTGCTTCTCTAGGCTGAACAATCAAAAGACAATGTGAGTTAAGGTTGTTTCTCTTGTGATTTGACCTTAAATAATTTTAATATCGTTGTGTTCATTCTGAGGAAACAAACGAAAACCTGCTCAAAACTATACCCCTTGTCCTGTTCATTTAAATACCAGAGTGGAATATTCTACCTGGTATTAGAAGCATGAAGTCTCCTCATTGCCATCAGTAAGTTGGAATTCATGGGCCAGAATCTCCTTAAAGCAGTATCTGCAGGCTGTTTTTTGTCTTTGATCTTTTTCTATAGACATAACAGATTATGGTTTAGCAAAAAAATGTCTGTTGGACAAGATGAAACAGAATTGATTGAATTGTCTCTTGCCAATGGGATAAGAATAGCTACTGGCAAACCTGGTGGAAAAGACAACCTTTCTTAATGAGGCCTGCAGATGTCATTTTGTTTGCACAAAAAAGATTCTTGAATGACAGATGGTCATTTTTGTAGTCCTTTGTCAGAATGTCACTTTTAAAAAGCGATCATATTTTTTGCTATCTTACTCAGAATATGTTCTCTCAACCCACTGACTTTTTCAGTATCATGATATAAAGCCATGCTTATTTCTGCAAGTGTACTTTTACCAGTGAAAATATGAAGTTGTAAAAATAGGCTGAGTGAAGTTATAAGCAGCTAAATAGGTAGATAAAGCCTTTTGCAAACATATTTGAATTTATTTGTTTTGCTTCATAGCTTATGTGTGAATTGGGAAATGATGTTATAAATAGAATATATGAAGCAAAGTTGGAAAAAGTGGGAGTAAAGAAGCCGCAACCTGGAAGCCAAAGGTAGTAGTTTGCTAGCAGTGCTTCCTCCTTTTCTTGTTGCTTCCTTCAGCCTCCAGCTTTAAAAGATGCTGCCAATTAACTGTGTAACACTCCTTTGATTGGTTCTTTGTTTCTCCTTATCACCAGCATGTTTTGCTCTCCCCCCTTTTCTCACTCTATTGGGTATTCTGTCTGTTGGTCCCTTTTGGCTTCTCTTGTTCGTTTGTTCTTTCTGATGTCACTCCCTCCTTTTGACCACAGCTCTATAGCATCCTGTTCTCTCTCATCAACGTAGGCATGTTGATTTTGTTTCCTGTCTACTTTGTACCATCTCAGCCAGCTGTGCTCGGTCAGAGTGCTCTTGGAAGGAACCTGCTGCTGTGCCTTTTGTTTACAGTGACTTTGTTCTTGAGTTTGACTCTTGTTTCCTGATCCCCGGAATGCTCTCTTCTTTCTGCTTACATTGTACATGAGCTCTGCTGCTTTACAGCAGCCTTCTAGTGATTGTGCTGCTGTCTTCCATGTCTCTGCTAATTTGTGTTTGAAAGTAGCTTCCTTATGTTTTGTTCTGCTGTATACGATGTCTTTTAAAACATAGTTTCTTACCAGCTTTCCAGTTCTGTGCTGCTTGCTGTCAGGCAGTTTTATGGTGTAGAAAATAGTGTTTTATAAAGTATTGGAAATTCGAAGACAATGACAGTAATGTAAATAATGTAGAACATTGGCTAAATATTCTTTCTAGGGGTAACTGCTTTTCAGCGGTTTCAGCAATAACACTTTTGTAGTCCTTTCCATCAGTTTGTCACAACTTGTGTATGTGTCTTAAGATGATAACCTCAGGTTACAAGAAAAAAATATTTCAGTATGCATTATGGAACTGGTGGCTGTGACTACCTGAGGCTTATTATTGTTATTGTTCTCTTGTGCAGTTTTAATGTTCCTTTAACAAATGTTGCAATTTATAGCATATGTCTAGTTTCTTAAGTTCTTAAAAAATTGGTTATTAACAATGTAAGACACATATAAAGGATTAATAGAAAGAAGTAACATACAGTAACTAATGCTCATTTCTTCCACATACCACTTCCTGAAGTCTCTGCCTGAAAGAAAATATAGATATGTGAACTCAACAAAATTGCTTTCTTTTAAGCCTTAGGCAAAACTTAATCAAGAATGCAGAAAGAGTTAGACCGTGTGCTTTTAGTCTTTCTGAAAATGTGCTATAAGTGTCTTACGTGCAGTGCCAAACTACAGTTTTGGTTACTGGCTTTAGTATAAAATAGATGTTCTTTTAATACATGAAAAAACTAAAATATTAGCTTACTAACTCCAGGGATTTTGTATATGACAGGCAGGAGAAGGAGGCATACATCAGAGCAAAATACGTGGAAAGAAAGTTTGTAGAGAAGCAGCCTGCATCAATATCTCTGCTTGAATCAGGAACAAAAATTTTGCCTCAAAGTCAGGAAGAGAAAAGGCACAGTGGCCCTGAAAAATCCCTTTTGTCAGGGGAACAAGGTGCGGCACCTCAAAAAGGTATTTACACACTTCTCTCCTTAGCTATATTACATGTATTTTTCTTTCAAGTAACATATTTCTGTATTAATTGATTTCCTGCCTCATGTAGAGAAATCGGAATCTGATTGTTAATGGGTCATAGCCTAGTTCAGAAGCATAGGGGAGAAGAGACTTGTTCAGAGATATGCATTTTTAGGCGGGGAAGGCTTTGGAGTGGGGATGCTTATCAGTCAGAAACATATTAACCACCCTCTTTCCTCCGTATTTTCATCCTTCTTAATTTTTCCAATAACGTTCTTTCCTGCCCTATCCTTTCCTTACTGCCTGCTTTGTGCTTTGCTAACTTGCATGTCCCAGCGGTTGCTGTAAGTAGCGACGAGGCGAGGCGGGAGTCTCTGTTCTGTCCTGATGAACTAGATTCACTCTTCTCCTACTTTGATACCTCTTCAAAACTACGTAGTAGTAAGTACTACAGCTATGGCGTGTTCAGTATTTGCACTAGTGATCCATTGTGTGTTGTGGCCATCTCCCTGCCTTTATTGTCTCCAGGCTACTGCATTTCTTAGTGTGTTCATGAAATAATTTAAGCTTTTTTACTTATCCTGATCTTTTCCTTTCTAAAAGTCTTTGATGTTATTATTATAAATGTTATGGTTACAATATGTGACTTCATAGTTTTCTACGGATGCATTAAGAATATTGAATAATTACTAGTAATTTTTTTAGAAATTATGTATTCAGGACCAAGTATAAGAGCTTGCTTTATTATCATGGTATCTGTGAAGAGTAGGTAACTTACAGTCTGCACAGTAATTAGTGTTTCTCTCCAAAACAGTACGAAGTAGTGACAGTGGGATCCAGCAGAGTGCTGATGACAGCAGAGAACACCTTGCCTCTACTATATCAGTTAACAGTCTGTATGAACCAGGTGCGTTAGGCTTTGCACTTTAAGATGAAATTTTAATCACTTGTTGGTAGCATGTTCTTGTAAAAGGGATTAGTGCTTGGTGATACAATTCATGTCTCTTCTATCCTGATGGACTGAAACATTTTTAACAAGGGTAATAATTGCCTGAGTGACCTTTCTCTCCTCCAGGCTTGGTAGGAAGAATGACACTGAACCCTTCTAAATGAGTTCAGAGAACTAATCTTTTTCCAGTCAGATGATACTGAGGCAGAACTCTGTTACAGTTTTGCAGATAGAGCAAGGCTGCATTTTGATACAGACAAGTCTCCACAGAAATATATATCATTTTATAAATAGTTAAATCCTTGGAGATAGAATTCCTGTTAAGTCATAGGCAACAGGCTTTTATGTGTTGTTTGAAAATTCTTACTTAATTTTTCTGTTTTCTACTTATGAGGAATTGACCGTGTCTTTAAACATTACCTCCCTCTTTACTCAGTTTTATAAATTGATTGATGAAATTATTTGCTATCTAATATTAGCATCCTGGTCTGACAGATGTATTGAAGTATGGCTTGTCAAAATATCCAAAACACTTATATATAAAGAAAACTTATTTTTCTACATCAAAGCACTCTCCTGAGGTATGTTTTAAATCCAGTAATTCATAGCTGTGGTTTGTAGGCAAGCAGCATGTGGCTTGGATCCTTTCTTTGACTGCATTGTAGAAACACTTATGATACTGTAACTCATGAAAGCTTATATACAACAATGTCTCTATCTCCTAGACTCACTCGGTATAACTCTTACTGAAATTAAAAGAAAGATTATGATTTAATCTAAAACATTATAGCCACAGCAAGTAATTGGTAAATTACAATGGTATCTTTTAACAAAAATTAGGTCAGAACAGTATTAGCCTCATAGTCAGATGCATCAAGCTGTGGCAGATAAAGATATATTTGTATGACTACATCTCTGCAGGAAATCTGTTTTATCATATCTTGCAGTATAGGATAAAACACACTGCTAAATAATTTCTAAAAAATGACATGGAATATGTGGACTGAAAGACATTCGTGCGGGCCAGTAATGTGGAGAGAATGTTTTCTGGGCAGTAATAATTCTGTGAAGTAGCCATGCCTGAATGCTGGAACAAGGTAAAGGCCCCTATGACTTCTGGCAGAATGGGGCAATAATGCACAGCATTCTGCAAAACCTCAGCTACCTTACACCAGAGAAATTGCATTTTTGGTCAGAATTCCAGGAGGTACCTTATAAAAAACAGGGATTAGATAAGGATTTTGAATTTGTTTTTTTTTATTTTTCAGAAGGAGAGAAGCAAGAGTCTTCTGTGTTCTGCGACTCCAAACAGCCTAGTCCAGGATTACAGCTGTATCGAGCTGCCTTTGAGAAGAATCTTCCTGATATGGCAGAAGCATTGGCCCATGGAGCTGAAGTAAACTGGGTCAATGTAGAAGAAAACAAAGCAACACCACTCATTCAGGCAGTGCGAGGGGTATGTGATACACAGCACCGCCTGATGTGGGAGGAGGGGAAGGGGAATAATAGGGTTATTTCTGTGTCTCTGTTCCTTTTGAACTGCTTGCTTCACTAATGAATGATAATGTGATGCTGAAGTTGTCTTTACAGTGTTCCCTCAAAGTTGTTTCTGAACGATGTTTTTCCTTTTAAAGCTTTGTTTGGAATTATATAATCTAGTAGTGTTTAAATTTGATAGGGAAGCAAATCCCTTTTGTTTTCTTTGCCACAAAATGCAGTGCTGAGAAGGCAGAACAGGTCTGGCTTTTACTCTAGAGGTCTGGTGATGAATTGGTTTTTTGCTTTTATTCCATAGGGTTCACTGGTTACTTGTGAATTTTTGCTGCAGAACGGGGCCAATGTGAACATCAGAGACATGAAGGGAAGAGGACCGCTGCACCATGCCACAGTTTTAGGACACACTGGGTAACTCACTGCTCCAGAATTTGTAAATGGCCATCCTTTACTATAGTTGTTAATGTGAAGCTTCTTCACTTCCCCAAATATTCTGAAATTTTAATATATTTCAGATGATCTAGGTTTTTCTTAAACTTATGTGGTGAGACAGGAAATAACGTTTTGAATTAGCAGCCTTGTCCACTGGCAAAACACACACCTATAAACACACTTTGGTCAATTTTGTAAAAGCATGTGTTTAATAATGCTTTCAAATAATGTCAACTTTTGGTGAAGACCTGTGAGATTTTTCTCGTTTTCTTAAGAAATACGATACCAATAGGAGAAATAGTGGCTTGTGAGGGCCAAGGCTTTTTCTAACTCATCCTACCTGTGTGTTGCACTGAGAGTGTATCTCATCTCAAAATGGACTGCATTACATCTTGGGTTTTGGAATCATGGCTGTTAACTGAAGCCAGCTCAATTCAAATGAGGAAATAATAATCTGTTTGGTGCCCAAACTTTTTGCATGCATAAATTCTAAATAGAGTGCAACAAATTGGGAGAGTTTAAGACATAAGCTTAGTCAGTTTGTCCAGTTTGTTTATAAAACTGAAGAATCATAATAGCAGAGAAAAATGAGATCAGTTTCTACTGGGTAAATCAGGCACCCGTGAACTGTCTTCTTCCCTATATTGATTTATCCTGCTCAGTGGTCCTTGCCTGTCATGGTAAAAGGGATGAGGTTTTTTGGGTTTACAACCTAAGATGATAAAGGAAGGTAATGTCTTGCTTCTAAAGGGTTCAACTTGTTTCTGCATTAGTGTGATTGGAGTTAGGCTATTTTTTTAACGTCGATTAAATAATTAACAGTTTTGCTTGCTCCTGTGGTAACATCTTAGTTGCTCTAGATTAAGTGCTGTTTTGATACGTTCAAGAGACTTTTGGTGATTTAAGCCAAATACATTGCATCCAGCTTGAATTTATTTGCTTTTTTCCTTTATTGTTGTAAAAATTATTCTTAAATGTTTTTTTCTAAACAGACAAGTGTGTTTATTCCTAAAACGAGGAGCAAACCAGCATGCCACTGATGAAGATGGGAAAGATCCATTGAGTATAGCAGTAGAAGCTGCAAATGCAGATATTGTAACATTGTAAGTTGTACATTCTGTTTTTGACAAGGTAACTAGGTTTTCCTATTCTGCTTCAAGTTAAAATTATAAGCAATGTCAGAATTCCTTTACATAACAGCATGGAGAGCAAAAGAGAAATAAAAGAGTTCGTCATAGATGACCTCACTGGTGTGAGGTTCAGGAGTGCCCCTTGTAGGTCTTGAATGAAAGTCTTTAGTGCTTTAAAGATGACATTGTTCTTTTTGTTTCCTAAATCATAGGTTGCGTTTAGCAAGGATGAATGAAGAAATGCGTGAATCAGAAGGACTCTATGGACAGCCAGGTCAATACTCTACTAATAACCATACTGAAATGCAGTATAAGAAGTGTATTCAGGAATTTATCAGTTTACAATTAGATTCCTAGGATCTGAGGGAAATTTAAGATAGCTGCATACAGTAATGTTTTTTATAAACAACTGACGTGTTAAAGCTTCATTGAAATTCACTGCTGTGACTTTGTTAAAATATTTAAGGAACCTAAAAGGAGAGTGTTTAAAGTACATTATTATAGTAGTGTATGTTACTACAGCCATTACCAACCTGTTTTGCTGGTAATTGTCCACAGTTTTCTCCTATTGATGTTCCATTGAAATTCCCGTAATGTTAGGATGTACCTGACGTTATTTAACAGCAGCCTTCTGACCCGGGTTGCTCAGACAGTTGAGGAGTTCATCTTATTACAGGATACCATTCTCCTTCCTGTGGAATGGTCCTCTTTTTTCTTTTTTAGGAAAAAATGCTTGCACACCAATGTAAAAATGTACATCAACTATTTCAAAATAGCTCCAGACAGAAATAGGAAAGTATTATTTCCTCAAATTTTATTTTTAAAATTTTTTATTTGTTAAGATACAAATAAGAAATGAAACAGTCATTTTTAAGTATGTATTTTTGTATGCTTAGTATCTTATCATTTGATTAGAGGATAAAAAAAAAGAATTGGCAGACATTTGAGCCAACTGGTACAAGAGAGTAACAAATTATATTTAGTGACTATGTGCAACTTTATTCTCAGGCACTCAGTCCCAATTTACACTATGTTCTGATATTTATGCAAGCCATTTCTTCTATTATGGTATGCTTCCATAGGAACCTAATTTAATCTCATGCAAATATCAGTAATGAAGGCACACTTGATTGTCAAGTTAGACAGCTAAAAACACGCTGCTGTACCTGGGAGTAGTGAAAGGCAAACCTTATTTTTAAGGCTGAGTGCTGAGTACTCTTGTCTCATTCCTATAAAGCCCTTATGTATTTTTCACTGATTCATAAGGATTCTGTGTGCTTATGTCTTTTACCAGACTGAGGCTGCAATATACTCAAGGGGCAACTTTCAGTCTTATGTCAATATCCCAGAAAAATTCTATTAAACCCAATTTCTTCTTAAGAACAGATGTTTTTTAAATTTAGCTTTAAACAAATCTTCTAGGAAATTCACATTAAGGGCATTCAGACATTCAAATGCTTTCTTTGGCAGAGCAACAGGTAATTTTGAAAGTATGTACTTGATTATGAGCTTAAATGAGGAAGAGTTCCCCACTCAGAAAATACAGCAGGCTACGTATATGAACAAAAGTCTATTTGCCATACTGAATGTAAAGCTGATTTCTGATATAATGCATTCTACTTCACTGACAGACTGAAGGTAACAAATACTGAAGTATTTTTGATGCACCTCATTTTTATTTCAAGACATAAAAATAATAACTACCAGTTTCAACTAGTAAAATGCCTTTGTTTTAAGGGAGGTCAGTATTTTGATTCAAAAGCTCTGTGCTAAATCATAAATGAATATTTTAGATCATTTAATTGACCTGTCATAAATCCAAAAGGATTATAAACCAGAAAACGTTTCTATAGTTTGTATGAAAAGCCTCAGTTGGTTACTAAACATCACAAATGTTTAGTGAAATGTTTCATTCATAACAAATACAGGCCCGACTTATATGAAAATACCAGTGTGCATAAACTGGAGATGGGGGAGACTATTTTCCCCGAATTAAAATATTTTTTTAGACAGATTCTTCAGTTAAGTGGATGAAATAAAAAGCTGGTGAAGTCTTTCATTGAAAATATCTTGACCTTTTTATCAGTTTGTATTACAGTAGCATCTAGAGACTGTACTTGATACAATCTGATCCAGATATTTTACAGATAGTGGTGATCCTTGTAAACAGGCAAGATTTACAATGGAATGTAGAGCTGCCACAATGGATAGAGCTTGCCCAAAATCAGGGGAAGGGTATCATTAGAATAGTTGTTGAAATTCAGATCACAATCTGTAGCACAGTATCCAAGCCAGCAGATCTTGCTGTATCTTTGGATTGCATAGCTCTGCTCTCCTTGATTCTTTACTCAAAGTCTCTTTTAAAAGTTGAAATAAAGATTTGAGTGCTTCAGATGTTAATGCTTGCTAGCCTGCTTAGAAGGGTTATGTAAATGTGTAATTGTAAGCACAAAACCTGACTCTGTCACAAGATGCGATACCTTTACATGGTTGTAGAGGAGGCAGGTCTTTTTCACTCCCTGTACATGTTAAATTATCTGTGCTGCCCTTATTTTAGAACTCCTCTTTTCCAAAATTATGGTTCTACAAGACAATTAAGGATTTTCAAGACTGTTGTATGTTTGCTTTGGGAGATAGGGTAAATATTGATGTATGAGTTTGCTGTCGTCAGACTGCTTATTTCTCTGCTTTAGTAAAACAATTACTAATGTAGCTAATAGCATTAACGTTTGTAATTTAAATATACCTGGCTGGTTTGAGCTGCTGAGAGAATGTATTGCTTTGAAAAGTACAGCTGGTCTTCCAAAATAGTCCTAGAATGGGAACTAGCTGACACTAGCTTGTTCCACCAAAAGTTAATTTCTGGTGGTAGAAGCCATATGCACCATTGTACTGTTTCTTGTATAATACTTGAGTGTTCATCTTCTGGTGCTACAGTATGTCTGCTAATTACTTGATAGTAGTATTGCTACTTTTTCTTCCTATCTTTTCTTGAATGTATGATGTGTGCCTTTTGAGTTACTCGTGTTAAATGGTAAAGCAGTGTTATAGTATTTTTGTACGTAAAAATCTGCACTTTAGGGAAAACATTGCTTGGAAAGGCAATTTCTAGAATTCAAGATTTTAAAATAATTATAAGGTTTACAGTATTAGGTATTTTAACGCAGCATACAAACTGAAGGGGCACTTTATTTTAGTCTATTTTTGTATCTTATATTTTTGTTATGTAATAGAGCCAAAAACAGAGCCACAATGTATCTTGCAAAAATAGCTTTTTTTTCTTTCAAGTTAATTTGAAAGAACCAAATATGGCAACTTGAACTACAGTACTAGTTCACCAGTGGAACCTGCTTCTGTGTTAAAAGCATAATTGTTTTTATTATACAAGCTTGATTCCAATTTCTGCTCTTCACAGCAGTTCTTTTGGTGAAAGTTGCAACTCCATTCCGTGCTTATCTCCCAGTGCAAGCAGTTATCAGAAACTGTTAGAATGTGTTCTATGCCTGCTTTATCTCTAGAACATGCTTCAAACTAAACCTGAAAATCAAACGGGAATTTCACTAGAAGTGACTTTTCCTAGTAGAGCAGTATCGAGTGTATTTATCTTTCAAAGTTTGGGGAGAATGGTGTCATTACATTTTTATATAAACCCACATGCCATGCACATTCAATATTTCTGAAAGTATTTTTAAATGAATGGTGTCTCAACTCCAAAAGAGCCATAGTTCTAATATTGGAAATGTGTATTAAAAGATGGGAAAACAAAGCAGTGTAACTTTTCACTGTAGTGCAAACTTTTAAACACAAAATACCCTTGTTAAACCTGTTCTTTGGAAAAAAGGTGGTGGAATAATACTTCTCTTCCAGTCGTATTGGGGGGAAAAAGGAACAAAAACAAAAAACATCAACATAAATTATGAGAGATTTTGGATGGAGTTCTTAGTCATGCTGTTAATCAAGCTGTCAGCAAGGAACAGTAGTACCAGGATCTTGTGTCCTGTGTTGGGAAGACAGTGAAATTTGGATCACTGCATAGTTGCTGACCAGACCAAATGTTTTATGCATTTAGTTCCCTTTGAAAGCAATAGGGTATGGTTAATGTTTTAAAATGAAACCTGAAGTCAAGGCCCAAAATGCTGGAGCAGATTAAAGAAAGTAAAAATGTCCATGTTAGTGGCAGAAGAATGACTTGGCAATGACTCAAGTAGTAAATCATTCCTGAATGTGTTTTCCTGTGTAGACAGGGAGGGGGAGTGAGACATGCCTGGTGGAAATTGCTGCCATCCCTCATTTTGGAATTTGTACTAGTAGTTGGGTTGTGTTTAAGCACAAAGAGTGAAAATTTAAAAAAAAAAAAAAAAAAAAAAAAAAATAAATGTTTAAGGGAAGTATCATCACTCATAGATAAAAAGATGTAATGGATGTTCAGTAATGCATGTAAAAAATTATATTTGCTGAAGTAATAGACCAAAATAGTTTATCAACAATAATTCTCAATTTAGGATTGCTTTTTTTATACTATTGCTTGCTGATTGTTTCTTTCATGGAGAGTTCTGTCTGGCTGTAAGACTTATGACCTCCCTTTCCAAGTAAATCTTTATTTATGCCATAATTCTACTTTTCTGAAGAGAATCTTGGTTAACACTTCCTTGCAAAACCAAGGATTTTATTTGTTAATAGCCAATAAAAATTTTTCTTTTTACGTTGCTTTAAAATGCTTTCGTTTTTCCTTTCTAACTCTGAACTTTCCTCTGTGTGGCTGCCTGCGAGGTACTATTTCAGGTATAGTTTGGCTTTGTTTAATTTGCTTCTACAGAATGTGCATGCAAGTAAACGGTCCCAAAGAGTTCACATCAGCATCATTCCATCTATAAGCAATCTTTATATATGAATAAGTGTTATACAGTAATTGGTAGCACAGTAGGGCATTTGTGCAATGGTGGGTGATATTAACTATCACAAATGTTTAAAACTGTTTCCCTTTTCTCTTCTACCTAGGAGATGAAATCTATCAGGACATTTTCCGTGACTTTTCTCAAATGGCATCAAATAATCCAGAGAAGTTAAACCGTTTCCAGCAGTCAGATTCTCAGAAGTCTTAAGTGTCAAGAAGGAAAAGAACCTGATCCTTATAGTGCAAGTCTTTTTTACTTTAACAGAATGAATTATATGCATTTTGTTAGATAGTTTGGATAAAATGACCACCCTAATGTAACCTTAGATTGTGGTAGCTGGGGAAATGTATGAGTTGTTTTATGTTCTACAGTACGTATACCTCAGCAGCTGAAGAAAATGTTTAAAAAAGTGAATACCTGCTAGCTCAGCATAGAAAGTGCCTGTTAGTAAGTACGAAGTTTGTCTGCGGTTTGTACATGAAGTTAGCAGCGAGGAGCTGTATGTGTCACAGACTCCGGATGGCAGGATGATCAGACCAGCTTTCCTATATAGTACCACCTACTGTCATCCATCTCCCTGTTGCCATAAATAATGTGCCTCTGACAAAAAGGTCTGGGTTGCATTTTCTGGGACTGTTTGGAAGAGAAATCAGGTAATGACTTACTGAGTTGTCCTTCTATTTGTGGGCCTGTAACTTAACAGATTCTCTTGTTCCTACGCTGACTCTGGTTAGAGGTAGGCTGTTAGTAACAAGACATGGTATAACTCCTGCTCTTTTGCAAGCTCTTTCACAGTGGAAGCTTTAACACCAGGCTGGCCTTTATGCTAGTGACTGCGGGTCAGTCACATCAGATATATGTCCTGGAGGACCAAACTTCTAAGAGCAATCTATTTTCCTTTTTTCCTCTTAAATTAAACTTTCTGTGCAGCAAGTATACTTTTAAATGAGCTTGTGGAACCTTTCATAAAAAATAAAACCTAATCCTTCTGGACACGATGTGGGATTTGTTTGTAGTACTTTGACATCAAAACTTGAAATTTGAGGCTTGAAAGTAAATATTGAGCCAATGGAGTTTGTGTAGAACAGTCATATGAAGGCTGTTTGTTACCTTTTCTCTTTGCTGTTCTCACCACTAGCCCTAAGCTGAATATATAAAATCTCCTATGTTATGCAGCCACACTAAATTGAGGGCAATCTTTTTTATCAGGAAGCAGTATCCTTTATATAATCTGCAAAGATGTGTATATATACGTGTTGTCTAAACTAAGGCATGCACAAGAAAACCTAGGAATTTCACTGCGCATTTTTGAAAAGTAACGGATGAGCATAGTCTCCAGCTGTATTCTTAGGGCAGCAACACAATTTACTTTATAGTGATCTCAGCTCTGCTGATGTGCATGCATAAATGGTGTCTGTAGATACATGCTTCTGTGTCACGTTATTAAATACTCAGATATAGTAATCACCTGAAGCCCCAAAACAGCAGATGCAATTCTTTATGCTCTATTTTTCTGTCCTGTGGACAACTTAAGGAGAATTTTTAGGTAACAGTGTCAGTGTGAGTTCTTAATAATCCTAATAGCCATGCTAACCTGCTCTTTAAATGTATTTACGAAATTAATTGGCCTTTCTCCAAGCTGGCTAAGATAAGCAAAATTGGGTAAAAAAAAAAAAAAGTTCTGTAAACTATGGTAAAATGAAACTTTATAGCACATTAAAATTTAAGAAGGTATTTCAGTTATTTATCATTTTGCATCAAATGTATAATGATGCATCAAATGTGGATGATTATTGCTGCAAAGTTAATAGCATTTTAGAATTATTCAACAGATTCTTTTTCCAAGCAGAAGAATCTTACAAAACAGTTCTTGCTTCATGTGTGGTCTAGTTATGCTAGGAAAAGCAGATTCTGCCCATTTAAAGAGGGCAGTTAGCCTGGATAGTAAGAAATACGGGAATATCACCTGTAAGCAGTAATTTCTAGTAAATTGTTTTTTAAATAGCTGTCTATGAAATTATAATATACTTCCTAATCTGCAGTAGTTAACAGCAGTGGATGTTTTAGTAGATCTTAGAGAAACTAAAATTCCCAGTGTACAGGCGGGACGATGTAAGATATGATTATGTATAGTATACACTTTAGATATAGGTTTTTATAAAGACTTGTCTTTTGCAGCCTACGTGACAGGCAGTATATAGTGTGATTGTCTGTAATATAAAGCTATGTAAAGCTTAATGGCATAATCACTCTCTCAGTCCATGCTGCTGGAAAAATGTCTCCGACACTTACTTCAAATCTCCACTGGTATTTTCCTTCCCAGCCACAAAAATCTCTGTGACAAATTTTGCAGGACAATTTCTTGTAGATGAAAAAAGTTTCTTCCCTGTAACTCTGCAGATCCATGTGCTGCATTCCTGACTCTCATCTGTCTGGGAAGCACTAACAGTCTATTTATGCTAAAGGTTTAGTAACACACCTGATCCACAGCTGGTGTTACTCTTGTCAGGAGCTCTAGAGTTTTAGTGGTTCAGAGAGTAGGTATGTCATTTCTGATCCTGCAGCCTCGCTCCCCAATCCTTGTAGGTACACTAGGGATATCCAGTACAAATTGCATTAATTTAAAGCTTTTTTTCAGGTCACGTGCAATACATGTGTTTAATATGTTGCTCATCAGCCAAAATTAATATGCCATTAAGTTACATGAAATATATTGAGGGCTTAGTCCTACCAGACACTGGCAGGCTCAGTGCTCCAGGGCCTTTGTAACTCTCAGGATTCAGCCCTCAGTAATACCATTACGGCCAGGGCTCCGCAGATCTAGATTCCATATCAAGTTCTGACTCAAGTGCTAATCTTCTGCTCAGTAATATTAGGAAACTTGCATTTTTATTGCAGTATGGATCATTAATATAACTGGAATAGTAGACAGTAAGGCCCCAATGTGGGTTAACATCTTGTACTCTGTGCCAGAAAATGGAAAGCTTCAATTCCAGTTCATGTTTCCTCTGTAGGTATGAAATATAGTAGGTGTTATTCGGTGATGTACAAAGCAAGAGTTTCCTAACACAGCTTAAAATCAGCTTTCACATGGATTTGTAGTAACTAGATAGCCCACTGAAAAAATTTTATATTTTTCCTAGCCAGAGTTAGATCATGTGTTCAAAAAGTCTCTTGGAAAGACAAATGTCGAGGAGCTCATCATATATTCTAATGCATCTTGATTTCAGAGATGTAATTTAATTACGTTGCATGTTGATTAAAATGGTGTCTGTGGTGTCTCCTTAGTGGTCTGTATTGTTTTGTTTGTTCGTAAGTTTTCATATTTTATGATAATGTCAGTACAGTGCATATAAACATACATTTCTGAATTATACTGAATTATGCTACTGAATTATATTAGACGTGCTGGAATTTGTACTCATAAATTTGTGTGAAGATGGTAGATGGCAGAAGTCTTTCTTTGCTTTCACAAGCTGCACGTATTGCAGTCTGAAGGCGTTTTTCAGTTGTTCATTAGTACGTTGTGCACTCCAGCCCCCTTACCAATTAGGACCTAATCCAAGAAGCCACTGAAATCGGTGGCAGTCTTTCCACAGATTTCAGAAGCTTTGGATTGTACCTTTCGTGGCTGCTAATGTAAGTATGTTGAAGGATCCTGTATTAATAGTGCATGTTTCATTCTGTGGGGTTTTATATTTTACCTGTTAATACACTGAGCTGAAATAGTTTTAGAAAATGCAACCAGACTTTCCAAATGCTGTCAGCAAATCCCCGTACGAGAGGGAATTTCTCCTGTTTTGCAGTACCTAAGTACACACGTTGTCCAAATTGTTAGAGTTCCCCTCGATAGAGCAAAAACCTTGGAGCACTAAAGAAAAAAAGGTGAGAACTAGCATAAGCATGGGGTTGGCTGTGATGTTTCAGGGACTTTGGTTCTTCTCTGCAGCCATATGTTTTAAAGTGTGGACGTTAACTTTGGTTTTTGATCATGGGAATATGAAATGACACATTGACTATGAAAGGATCATTTAATAGAAATACAAATCATGTAGAAGTACTAAAGATGTAATCTTTTTACACTGTCAAAAGGACTGGGCTGATTATTCTGATTTAACACACTGAAAGTGTTTTGAGAATCAGTTTTACAAACTACCCTCTCTGCCTGTTCACAGGGGGCCATTTTATCCCAAGCTAGAGTTTATACCCCTTGTTTGCGCAGCCTGATAGCTTAAAGGCCTTGCTGTCTTGCTTGCATAACAGCACATTTTTAAAACAGGGGTAACTCGAGAAAGGCAATACTGGGGAAAAAGATGAATGTACCACTTTGGTTATATCCCCTTTCCTCTGTTTGCTTCCCTTTTCTGCATACAGCATTTTCTTGTTTCTCTTCTCATGGAAGACAAGAGGAAAAAAAATCCCACTCTCTTTTCTTTTGGCACCTCCCATTTTCCACGTTTTGGTAGAAATTGCTGAGAAATCATAGTTTCCTCCAGCAGCGACGTTGTTGTGTCTGAACCAATGAACTTTTTTTTTTTCTTTTTTCTTTATCCCCCTCTCTCTCTGTCCTGGGTGGGTTAAAGCATTCCAGCCCCTCCCGTTCTGCTGTGACCTCTTCCTGTACAGCTCCAACTGTAAAAAACAAACAAACAAACAAACAAAACCAAAAAAAAACCAACCTAAAACTTATATAACTAGTCCTCGGTGTGTCCACTTTGTAGCTAGAGCTTGAATGCGGCTTGCCGCAGCCTGCCAGCGTACCTGACCCCCGCGCCCCCTCCCTCTGGGCGCGCTGCCGGCCCTGCACGGCCGCCATTAAACCGCTGGGGGCGGGGCCCGGCCGGGCCGCCTGGGGGCGGGGCGGTGGGCGGCGCCCGAGGCGCGGCCCCGCCCCCCGGCATGGCGGCGCTGGGCCGCGCGGCGCGGGGCTGGGCGCGCTCGCAGCCGTGCGCGCTGGCGCTGGCCGCCGCCGTGGCCGTCTGCGCCTTCTACTACCTGGGCGGCGGGGGCGAGACCTTCTCCAGCGCCACCCGCCGCCTCCGCGCCACGCCGCCCGCCCCGGCCCACCGCCACCCCCGGCGCGGCGGCGGCGAGGCGGCGGCGGCGGCGGCGGGCCGCGACCTGCACCTCCTGCTGATGTTCACCAAGGCGGAGCGCAGCCCGGCGCTGCGCGCCAAGGGGCAGGCGGCCCTGCGCTCGCTGCTGCGGCACGCCCGGCTGGGCGCCGGCGACGCGCTGCACCTCCACCTCGTCACCGAGGGCGCCAGCCGGGACATCGGGCTCGGGCTGCTGCGCGACCTGCTGCGCGGCGCCGCCTTCCGCCACCAGGTGCGGGCGCGGGGAGCGGCGCGGGGAGCGGCGGGCGGGCGGCGGGACCGGGACCGGGACCCCCCCCGCCTCCTCAGCACCGCCCCGCGGGGGCGGCCCCTGCGGCTCCGGCCTCCCCGCCCGCTGCTGCCGAGGAGGCGCGCGGGGCTGCGCGGGGGCGTTACTCCTGCGGCGCGGCGCCGCAGCCGCGCTCCGGGGGAAAGGAACTTTCTCGGGCCCCGCGGAGGGTCTTCGGCGTGAGCCCGGGCCCTGCTGCCGGCCGCCCCAGGCGTCCTGCGGCGCCGCGGTGATTATCTCGCCCAGGGGTGGGTGGGTGGCTGCGCGGCCCGGGAGCCCCTCTGGCAAACCACTGCTGCTGGAGAAGGGCACTTGCTCCCAGCAACGCTGCTCCCCTTCCAGAGACCCAGCTGTTGGCCCCGGTTCAGCATCTCCGCACAAGGACCGCCCGTGCTTGTGTGTAGCTGGCTTTCCCAGTGGTCCTGGGGGACCCTGATCAGAAAAGGCTGTTGCCCTGCTGCTCGTGGCTCCTGAAGAGCGGAACGGAGAGCCCACAAAGGTTGGCGTGCTTCCACGTGCAAATGTTCATCCTGCTACGGGCCAGAGAAACGGTTCTGCCTCCCAAAAATGTAGTCAATGCAGTCCATGCAAAGTCAGGCTTTCCTGCACATTCAACAGCTGTCTGAAAACCGGAGCACCACGTTCAGGGACTCCGGGTCGCTTGACTCCCCTGTCCTGAGGTGCTGCTGCAGAGTATTGCTTGGAAGTGTCCTCTGCTTCTGTAACTTCTCATTTCTTATCTTCCACGTGTTTAGTATTATCTGAACTCTGCTGAGGTGTAACTAGGGGTGTACCCTTCTTGTTGTTCATACAGATCGCTTGTCGCTAAATAATCCCACCTCTCCTAGCTCTGCCGCTCGGTCAGGCTGCATGTCTGTGGTGGGTGACCCGCTCTGAGCCGGCACTGCTCGGCTGCCCTCCCGAGGGGCCCTCCCTGCCGCAGCGGGGCGGGCTAGCAGTGAGCCATGCCAGGGCAGGGCAAATGTGCAGTGCCACGGCCTAGCTCCCGGTTCTGACATCCCGTCCCCCGGAGTGGGAGGACCCCCGGCCCCCCACGGCGTGCAGATCTCTTGCGGACACCCCCCTGTGTGTGTGGCTGCCTAACTGCCGTCAGCTCTTCTCAGAACCCAAACTCCTCAGCGGGCAGCCTGGCCAGCATTGCTTCTCCAGGGGAATGCGGGCTTGCGAGTTAGCATCTTAGGGAGGTGGGGGCATGCATTCAGGTGTCTGTTGTGGGGTAGACCTCTGTCTGTAGGTGCTTGTGGACTTGCAGTAAAGCCTGGATCACGGCTCGGTGAGCTGGTCTTGCTCCAGAACCGGTCTGTTGGGTGTAAGCAAGCAGCATGGTCTGGAGGGCTCCGGTGAGATCTCACTGGGATCTGCTCAGTCAGACAGCTTCTTCCCCTGCTGCAGGCAGTACCTGACGTGTCCTGGTTCCAGAGCAGTGGCTGTCACCTGCTTCTCAAGCATACAGCCTCACCCCTAATACTGCACCGATTCGTGGTACACCAGCAGGTGACAGCACCTCTTTACTCCTGCTGTAGCCTGCCCCGTTCCGCCTCTTTGTGGGAAGCATTTCCCTAACTTGGACCTTTGGTGCTGCTAAAATGTTGAAGGGGGTTGATCTTGATGTTCAGGTAGCTCCAGCAGTAACACATCTCCATCCTGAGACCTCGCCTTTCCTGGTTCTCTTGGGGTCCCCAGAACACTCTTCTGGTCCTTATGCTGTTTTCCTAGAGCAGGCCCAGAGATGAGGCTTGATAAAGTGCTCAGAGGGCAGCTTGAGCTGCAGAGGCAGTATTAAACACCCTCAACTTTACTTTTCCTTCATGAGGATGTGATTCAGGCTCTGCTTTTGGAGCTGTCCTTGCCCTCCCCTCCCAGCAGAGCTGGGATCAGTTAGGTCCTCTGTTAGACTGAAGCCGGGGAATCAGACCCAGGTCCCAGCCCTTGGGGAAGGTCATGGGCCAGCTTTTGCCTCTCTAAACAAATTCAGGAACTTTCAAAAGTTCCTGAAGACTGAAGGAGGTGGCGGCAGCCTGCCAGGGCCGCATGTGGAAGGTGAGTGCAGAGGTTGGGATGCACCCTGGTGAGGTGCATGGGAGCAGTTTAGGCAGAGGAGCCTCCCTGCTGGGCAGGACAGGGCAGACCTGGGCTGTCCCAGTCGTGGGGCAGTCGTGACGTGGCGTCACCGGTCCCACAGTGCCTGTCCAGATGTGTCCCAGATGTGGAGCTGGGAGCGCAGCATGCCGACAGCGAGCGGCAGATGGAGCTGGTGCTCTGCGATCTGGTGCCTGCGTGGCTTTTTGGCGTGGGGTGGAGAGCGGTGGGGATGGAGGAGGTTGGCTGGGAAGCACCTGTGAGCAGTGGTGCCAGAGGAAGGACTTGCGACATGCCAGCACCCAGCCAGGACCTGACCTTCCTGCCCAGTGCTTCGTCCTCTGAGCCCCAGCTTGTGGAGGTTCCGGGCTTTTCTGGGCTTTTTCTGTTTTTTTTTTTTTTTTTTTTTTGTTTTGTTTGTTTGTTTTTTTTTTTTTTTTGTTTTTTTGTTTTTTTTTTTTTTTTGTTTTTTTTTTTGTTTTTTTTTTAATAGGCTTTTTTTTTCTGTGCTTTTACCAGGGATTTTATACTCACAGTTGCAGAGAGCATGTTCTGTCCCGTGGGTTGCAGGGTGATCTTTGCAGCCTCTCCTGCTTCCCAGCAATCGGGAAGTGCCTGGGAGTGAGCCTGGGCATGTCTCAGCGGCCGATACTGTGCTTACAAATAGCCCCGATTCACCCTGTTTCCTGCAACTCTGGGCTGTGTGCTCTGACTCCTTGTGCTGATTCATATCTCTTATTTATTCCGTTCCCCTCTGAGAATAAAATTAACTGCACACTCTGCTCATTGCTCTTCCTG